TTATTGAGATGTAATTCTGTTTAGATAGAATGAAATTCGTACACATATTCAATGTCCCCCTTATGATGAATTGCAATCTGTTCTGTGATCCTTTTCATCTAGTGCCATCATAAGGGTACAATTAGACAGACACAGTCAGTGACTAGCTGGTGAACATAGTGGAGCTAAAGAGATAGATAATTCCCACAGGAGTTGGTAGGGACGAAAAACAAGAGAGTAAATATTGGACATAAATGCGATTTCAAATGAATTATAATGTTGCTCCTTACCTGTACAAGCACAAGCACGTCAGACATGTGATCTTAAAAGGTGATGATATGTAAATTTTGTGTTCAGTACTTGGTTCCACTTCCCTCAATACAAAAAAACGATTCCAGGTTTAATTTAAAATGATGTAACCGAACAAAACATTGTACTAAACCCCTAGCAGTCTGCAGTATCCTCAAAATTCAGGGAACAAAATAATGAAATGTCCAACAGTGCACTCCAATTCAATATACATGCATCTTGCCAGAAATGTCTCTAAAGAAAAATCTAATTTTAAAAAACGCACAAAACCATCACATTTTTGAGATTGTTACCAGCAGTTGCTCATCATGATGTATGCTCAACTGTAAGCAGTGAGAGCACCAGAGCAAACAATCTACCGGACACATGAAGGATGATGTTTATATTCTTCTCTCCTAAAAGCGAAGTTGACCAGTGGTCCAATCTCCCCTAAAACTTAGTTTATCCTTCTGATGGCTCTCTGCTACTTTGTCACACAGCACTCCTTAATCCCTGATTTACACACCCACATTGCTGGAAAGACAGAGGTATCATGTCTTGCATAAGCTTTGTTTCATGTGGTGAGTGAGAGTAATAGACGATCAGTGGTCCCAAGGCGGTTTGTTTTTTTTGCCTTTCCAGATTTGTTCTTTATGGACTGTGTGCACTCGATGCACCTTAGCCTTGAGCTTGTCACTGAGTGTGTCTTTGAGGTTTGTTTTATTAAACACGATTGTCCAGCATTGGCATTTGTCAGCCCTTTATGGCATTTTATCTTCTCCTGTGTTATGTTTAATACAGGAAGAGGAAATGGGAGTGTAACTGGAATTGTGGCAATGTAAAACAAGACAGAGATGATAAACTTTGACCCCACCCCTGTGCCATCTGTAAACTACATACATGTGACAGTATTATATATATTGTCTTCCCATACTGTATGTTTACTTTTGTGTAGTTGCTTGATGTCAAAGATAGATTATTGCACTGCATCGGTTCCTGTGTGGGGGAAGTAGAAAGGGTAATGGTATGTTGTAGTCACAGCTGAAGAAATAATTCTTTATGCTTCTGTCAGCCCGTATCAGTGAAAGGTCTGTGTGTGTGTGTGTGTGTGTGTGTGTGTGTGTGTGTGTGTGTGTGTGTGTGTGTGTGTGTGTTGGCAACCTGTGATTACCTGCTATTCTTAGAATGACTATTCATTTAATCAGCTCTATTTTTGCAATTGGATTCCCCTGACAGCTGCTTTTATCATTATTTGCTTTGCTTTGATAAACGCTCGCTTCCTCCCTCTAGAAACAGAAAGTGTGAAAATTGCATACTTATAAAAAGAAACACTAAGGAGGGGAGAGCCTCTGTGTGTGTGTGTGTGTGTGTGTGTGTGTGTGTGTGTGTGTGTGTGTGTGTGTGTGTGTGTGTGTGTGTGTGTACTGGTGGGTGATGGGTGGTGGCTGAGATGGGTGGATCAGAACTGTTTTGCTCAGAATTTGAAGAAGAATATGGTAAATATATGTGTGACGTTTCCATAAACACCACTCATTATAATTCTAATTTATATTCTTGTAGTTTACATTATTGACATTGCTGTCATGTGCAAATGAGGGATTAGGTTTGGGTATAAGTTCTGATAGTGATTATCATTATTGAATCCTGGTTATGATTTTTAGTACATTATTTTAGTCATGAATTAAACAAAACAATAAAACAGAATAAGGCTGCCATGGACAGATAGTCATTTGTCATTGATTAGAAGTTATTTCTTGATGATTTTTTGTATTGGATGATTCTACTTGCTGATTCTAGGGGCATTAAGCAATTATTATTTTTGTGCATTGATTACACTTGACTGTCTTTTGTGAAGCTTAGCAACACTTTTGTGCTGATAAATGCTTAACTGATGAGAGAAATATTAAGCTGTTCTACAGTTGACTTTTGAAAAAAGGACCACTTTAAAAAGAAGGTTTGACATTTTGAGATGTCTACTGTATACACTACAAGTACACCAACAACCCAATTTAAAAAAAATATGAACTATTTCTTCCCAGGCATTCAGCCTCTGAGCAGCTTGATCAATGACTCACTTTGAAATCCATTAATTTCTGATGAAAACTCAGCCACTGCGGATGTCACCTTGACATCCAGTAGCTCTGAGATAACAATGTTCAAGAAGAAAACCTGACTGTTATACACTAGTAATTACATTTAGATTTTGAGAATTAGATTTCCAGCTAAAACCAGTTAGAGGCTGAACTGTCGACCAAGCTGTGCACAGTGTGAAGATGTTCAGTTGTAGTTAGCTTCTATCTCATAGCATAAGGTTTAGTTTGTTCTTATTCCTTATATTGTGATTTTGGTCCACACCCAAACTACACTGGAACTTACAGCAAAACACAGTACAAACAGCTTGATGTTGACTAAAAAGAAGTAAATGGATGAGAGATAAAAGAGGAGGAACACAATGTTCAGAGCAGCAGCTGATGCTCTCTCTATGTCTCTCTCTGTTGCCCTACCTGTCTCTTTTTCCTTTCTCTCTCTTGCTCTTTCTGTGTTTTTCTATTCATGTTATGGCTCTATGTTCACCTGGACCGGGACAGAAGGCACAGAGGCTGTTAGTCGTGACACTTGCTTGGAGGCACCTCGAAAGGTCATGAGACGTAATAACAACAGCAGGGGACATTCTGAATAATGATAGTGGACATTTATTATACAGGAGCACAAGCAAACCCCTGCAGGGTCTGTGCAGGGTCGGCCAGATATGACGCTGGGCCAGATTTAAAAAATAACCACATTTACACCGGGCCTTAATTGTCCCCCTCCTGTCGCTTTACTACCTCAGAAAGTTGACGTTATGGCCAAGCTGAGCTGGAACAGCCAGCAGAAATGAGGCATTATTAATAGGCAATTTTACTTTCAGCCGCTTTCCCACCTCCTCACATATTTTTCCATAATAAAATCAGGAGAGGTGAGTGCACATAAAGCCTCCTTAACAATAAAATGTAATCATAAGTAATATCAAAAATTATAAGCTGGAAAAAAGAGGAAAGAAAATTGACAGCCATGCCCTTGTTTGCTTCCCTCAAGTGTAACTCAGCCAGACTGATGCAAGAAACAGAGACATTGGCATGAAGGCAGTGACAGAAACTGATTGGAAGAGGGACAGAAAGAGAGACTGAGCCAGAAGATTAAAACAGAGCGTGAAAGACAGGGGAGAGTGTGAGGGTTTGCGTCAACATCTGTAAAGTGAGAGTGCAAGAAAGGAGGCAGGGAGTGAGTGAGAGAGGTAGACCGAGCCAGAAAAATGAAATGAGAAGATTAGAGTAGACTGTTCAACAACGCTCTCCCACACTGGCAAAGTTTCATCAGCTTGAGAGGACTTGCCGTGCTCTGAGTCACAGCAGATGGGCAGCACTGTCAAGCGTTAATAGAGGTATAGCAGTCACTATTGGTGGCAAAACTCAGCCGCTTCATCAACCAGATAAAGATCCTCACTGTCAAGATACCGGCTATTGTTTAGCTTAAAAGTGAAAGGTTCATCCAAAAAAGAAAATGGTTGTCATTGTTTATCCACTGTAATGTCAAAACATTAGCAGCTTAGCAAGTGCAGCTCCATGTCAGAATGTGGATCCTTCAGAACTCCAAAAAAGGCCCCAAAACAATCATTGATTTCAACATCTCTATCAGTATTCTGTATATAGCCATATATGATTGCTCAGAGTCTCAAAGTAATTTTAGAGTTTATGATTATATATAGGTTGAGTATTGATGTTGCATGGTAACAATTCACTATGTGTTTACACTCTAAAACAGAAGTTTATATGATGCAAAACAGTGACAGCTCTGCTCCAACTGTGACTTATAATGCAGAACACTTACAGTACCACTTAACTCACTTTCAAACAAAGACGACACACACTTGTATACACACTGTACAGGTAATCTGCATATTCAATTAATTTGTCTGTTTGGGGCAAATAAAGACATACTGCATGAATGGTGCTTTCTGTATGGACCTTGAAAAATGCTAAAGAGTAAAAACCAACAGATACAAATGCAGCCTTGCAAGCTCAGTCCATATCTTCCAGGAAAAGCACAATCTGTACAGGAAATATTTAGAAAAGGTCATTGATAGAGCAGTATGGAGCTCAAAAAAATACAAAAAGGTCTTTCAGTTTGTGCGTACACCTCTGCACATACACTTGAACAGACGGCTCTAGCCAGTTTGCTGTGGTGACAAACTAATTTCACTACTGAGTAAGTGAATGAAGATTAAATTTAAAATTTTGGTAGCAATAAAACCAAATCAGTGAAAACCAATCAGTGTTGGCTTCCCTATTTTGACTGATTTGATTCTTTAGTATATGTAGCTGTGTGTGATTAAATCAGAAGGTCTGAAATATTCTGCATCCAGCAGCGCTGTTACATGATATTTATATTGCGGTTGTTTTTTGAGCACCATTTTGGCATTCTTCTGTGCACAACAGTGTGTGTTTGTGGATGGAGGGTGATGCATTATGCATGGCTGCCACTGAAACTTGCCTTTAAAGCGGCCTTATTTAAAAGCTCCATGCTATCTTTGGGTTTAATAGGCCCTGAATATATTTACAGATATAGAAAAACACCAAAAGCTATGTGCCTGCTATCATACAGACCTATGTTAAACACACACACATGGAGGAGTATCTTCAGAGTGCCAGTGTGCATATCTTGTGACAGACTGCGCATATGAAAAGGGCAGAGACTGTTTTGTAAAGTTCTTTTATTGAGGTATGTGGCTAACCAATGACTCCGGACTCAGGATACATCCAAACATACACTTTACCTTTTGAAATCTCAAAGTTGTGAACATGTGATGCTACATAAAACTAAGCGCAATGCAAGATAAAGTGTTTACATGGGTAAAATCATAAATCCAGTTCTGCTCTGATACCGTTTTTCTCCAGGATGGTTGCTGCTGTGAAATTCTCAGTTTTCTTCCATCTCTGATATTTTCTGACTTTCAGAAACATCTGACGCACAAAGACAAGCCATCAGCCCAAAGAGCTCAATGGTGAAGTGAAGTGAAGTGATGTTGCAGCTAAAATACAACAGCTATCACTATGAAGGAGATACCTCAACTAAAAGTATTATTCAGATGACACAAAATAAAGTGCTATTCTCGATATTACAAGAAGAGAAGCTTATTTCTCACAGCCTCTAAAGGCTTTCACATATATTGAAATGTAGACTAAAGAAGGAACATAAGCTAGATCTCTGTGCTCTGAAGAAGACATATGAGTTAAATTATTTCGTAATTAGTAGTGCCATCAATCTACTGTTGTGTTCTGTGCTTCAATCCTACATTTATGTTCGTGTGTGTGTATCCTCTCTCTGGAACAAGGTGTTCTTTTAAAGAAATGCATCACATTTGTTAAATAAGTAATGGATGAATGAATCAATGGAAGAAACCATCAAATGTATACTTACAGGACCTACAAGAAAAAAATGCCTTCACTTTATGTCATAACTGATCAGTCACAACAATAATGTAAGGACAAGAGAGGCCAAACAGGGAGTGGAAGATGAAGATGACAGGCTGACATTTGATCAATGATGACTCGCTGCACCCATGGGTACAACACTACCTGCATGCACACACTGACTCATAACGCTTCAACACTGATGTCATTCCTCTCACTGCACCTCCTCCACCCTCTGTTTTCCTGTGTCCTTCTCCAAACTGTCAGTGAAACTTAGACTCCTTGTCGTGGTCAGAAAGATCCCCATTGTGTTGTTGTTTTTCTGGCAGACTGGCTGCAGTTTATTCCCCGCTGTTCCAGCTCTGGTGAAGTCATGTTAAAATGCTGTTCAACACATGCAACACCCGCTGCGACTCTTCAGTCAGTCTACTCAGAGACCAACCATTTTATGCCTGCTGAGCTCTTTTATATGAAAACAGGAGAACAGTTCCTGCCACTTGTAACTGCTACACTTGAGATTTTGACACTTTTTTTGCTCATGACAACCAGCCAAACGAGGGAGAGGTGGTCCTCCCAGTTTTCCTAGCGAGACTCACACGCAAGTTTAATCTCATCTCCTTTAGCTTTTTCTTCATCATCTCTTCTTAAAACTGCTGATCTTTCTGAGTTACCAACAAGATACATAACTGTATCCCTGTATGGATATGCAATTAACCGAAAAGAAAAGACAAGAGAACCTTATAATGAAAGTTTTAAGTTCCTGTCTTGTAGATAGTGGAAAAGGTAATGTTTGTTTTGCAAAATGTGTTTTTCTGTGAAGCATGAGTTCCACCATGATTGATTTATGCTTTTTTGCCAGAAATTAAAAGATGCTGACCCATATTTCCATTGTTATTATACACTGAAAAAGACAGGAGAAAAAGTTTTCGAGTTTCCTGTGAGAGATCCTCAGAGCTTCCAATTGTCCTTTGAAAATCTTCTCATTGCTGCTCTCCCAAGTTAGCAAGTGCAGTTATAACTCAGCCTGACACTGCTGGGGATTTTTGGATTGTGTACACTCCTTTCATCTGATTCTCCGGTCTGTCTGAGTGGCAGTAGCTTTCTCTGGCTGGCAGTGGCTGTCCTTGGCGAGTGCCTCATGCCGTGTACCAGTCTACATGAAGCTGGTATCAGTCCCCAGGCCAGAGACCCTGACATGAGCAGATAGGGATGAGACATACGGAGTGGGTAGAAACAAGAAAAGGACGCTGAGCATCATGTTCCCATTACAGAACTCAGCCTCCTCCCACGTTGGTAGACGTCATTTTGATGAGGAAAAAAAAATGTGAACTGGCATCCAGCAAGCATATTTAAAGCATTTTTGACTTGCGCACCCTTTGTCTAACTAAACATTGATTTTTGTATCGGAAAGATAAACCTACAGCAACGCTAGACTGCTGAGAAACAGTTCTTTTCTAAGAGAAGGATTACTGCATAACTGTACACTCTATTAAAGACTCTATTGAAGACAGTAAACCAATTGAACTGGTCATCTGTGGTCCCAGCTCTTTGCAGAAGTTTTTCATGTTTGTTTTTCGTCCAGTTTATCTGTGTTTGGTTAAAGTCAGTCAGGACTGGTTGGAGAGGTTGCGGCTATCTTTGTGCCGAGGGGAGGGTGGGGGAGGGGTGGTGGTGATAGTTTGAAGATGGGTGCGTCCCAAGGGGAAGTGGAAGTAGAAGGATGGTGATGTGCACACAAGGGCTCAGATCTCCTCTATGGAGTCAGCTGGGACTAGACCTCTCTTCTTTCCACTGCTCAGCTTCAGGAACACCTCACCATCTTCTAGCTTTCCCACACAGATCTAAAAGGAAGAGACAGAAACTGAGTTGCTGTATTTTCTGTGAAGTAACAGATACTGAAATGTAGGACTGGATTTAACTGTCAAAAATTATTTCTATTGGTATTTGACACATTAATAGACCTCCAAGAACATAGGTGAGCATATACTTTTTCCTGCCAACAGGTAACACGTATATCCATTCTGGCAGAAAATGATGTGTCTAAGTATATAATTATTCTCTTGATACGTGTATGTGCATGAACATTGCCAACAGAATGAATTAACATGCTGTCAGTTAATGCCAGTTGCCTACACTGACTCATTGTAATTAATTTGTCAGAATTAATAAAAAATAATAATAATGCAAAATCTAGGTAAACACTATTTTATAACACAACCCCTTATTTTAACTTACTTAGATGGTTTTGGAGCATAATCAGCAGCTGATTTGTGTTTTCTCAACATTTTTCTATTTATTTTGTAATTACAAGAATACTCTATAAACTATGGTGTCTGTGCACACCTTCTTGTGGTCAGGATTGGGTGTGTAGGGATATAAATTGTGGTTGAAAATGTATTTAAATTAAAATTAAAATATATATATGCATTTTCTTGCTCAAGGTCTCTAAAGTGGAAATGATGAGCTTTATAGTGTCGACACACAGACATAGAGATAATTTTGGTGCCAATCCTTTGATCCCACCCTGACCAGGATGTACCTCGCCTCTTACCCGGTGTGGGCTGGGATAGACTCCAGCCCCCTGCAACTCTGCACAGGATAAAGTGGGTACCACAAATAGACAGATAGAACCTTATCACAAACTTAACAAGGTGACAAATGATTCAGATTCCCAAAATGTCAGTGTAGTTTGTTGTTGTAAACATAAATGAGAGGAACCAAAAAATAAAAACAGTGACAGTATGATAATACTGGTGTACCTGGGATTCCCTCACGGCCATATGTCCTCTCTCTCGGTTGCCTGGAAGGCCTTGGACAACCCGCCACACTCTCTCTCCTGGCCGGACCCTCTGCACAAAGTTGGCAGGGAAGAAGCCGACTCTGTCGCCGCTCTTGCCCTGATAAACATAAGGGAATAGCACAAACAGACATTGACATGACTATTATATACAGCAATATCAACCTCAAGTCATTTAGTCTCATATGTGTAGTGTTGATAAAGTTCTGAGTAAGTGTCAGCTGGTTGTATTATTTATGGCCACTGATTCATTGTGTCTGTCCCTATATATTATTTTTTCATTGTCTTTTTCAAGGCTGGCCATGTGTTGCACAGGTCTGAAATGAGCCAGATGACTGACAGAGAGGTCTGGACTGGCTGACTTTACAGACATGTTTTAGCATTGTCATCCTTTGTTAAGACCGTTGAAACAGAAAGGCCATTTTTGCCGCCATCCACTCTGAATAATAATGGCGTATGAAAAACAAAGTGAGACAGACAGCAACACACTTCCTCACATTTCTGTCTACGCAGTGATGAATCACTGTGGCTGCAGAGTCAAGTGTAGAAACAACACAGGATAATATTATGATATGCAAACAAGAAATAACTTCATCTCAATGTCAGATTTGTTTAACATGTATTTAAAGGAAAAAGGCAACAGCAAATTGTGGCCCCTTCTTTGCTGGAGAAAACATGATGTTTTATTTACCCTTATTATGCAGCACATCTCACTGTTTATCACCCATCTACCTCAGGTGTTGATGCGTTTATTGAGGTGAATCACAAGCTATACATTAGTAATGAACAGATGATTCACAAATTATTCATAATTTAAAGGTTCCTTGTAGCGCCAGTGTTGATTTAAAGTGTTTAATGACAAGATGCTTCTTCACTTTAGGATAAATAAGTGCTAGTAAATACTGGTCCACCAATAGAAGATAAACAGACTTTGCACTTCAGTTAAGTCTGGGTGCATCTTCCTTTTTCTGTGAACACACACAAACCCCCCCCCCCCACACACACACACAGATGTACATTTATTTCCATTGGGACCAAGTGAAACTCATTACAGACTCAATAAAGACCTCTTTCAGGTTGCAACACTAGTCAGATTCATTATGTTAAACTCTTAGTAATTTACAGAGAAAATGATGTTCTATTTCTGTCTGTGGCAGCCTGCATGTTTATGACAGGCAAAAGTGGAGCAGGTGTTATGCATTAAGGAGGTGATTTAAAGACTTAAATTAACATGTGCGCACAATGAATGCACACGCATATTTCTGTACACTCAAATACACATTATGCACACAAGAACACAGCTTCACACCAACAAACACACACTAACACACACATGACTTGTAAATGACTTATTACCCACCTTCCACCATTCTTCATTAGAATCATCGGTGACCTGCACCCGATCACCGGGACTAGAGGAGATAAGACAAGAGAGAAAATGAAAAAAAGGAGGCATGGAAGGGGAGGTGATTGAGGTGGAGAAGAAGAAAAGGGGACAGAGACAAGAGTGGGATAGATGAAGGTGGTGAGAGAGTGAGAGTGGCAAGCAGAAAAAAAAGGAGTCGAGTGCAAGCACAAAAGATAACATTATCAAACTGCTACAGAAAGCTGTTGTACACACGGTTTCAAAGCTGTGGAAGCTAAAATGTGGATGAGTTTTTGTGTCCTTCTGCAGAGGTGACAGAGCAGCTGACACCAAAGTCATGAGGTCTACATGAAATACAACTCTATAGCGCCTACTGCAGTAGTGAAGGCTGGACCTGATCTGCAGCCAACCTGGCCTGCATGCTAATGATGCTACCAGTTTTTGATGAGACTTTTCTACACACACGCACACAGACACATACATACACTGTGTACACTCTGTCCCAGATACACAGGGAGAAACTGCTGTCCCAATTGCACTTCTGTATGTTGCATCTCCTGGGTGTCTGCTCTCACTACTGCCCTATATGATCAGCACACACACACACACACACACACACACACACACACACACACACACACACACACACACACACACACACACACACAGTTTGCACAAGGTTACATAAACTGACCAACCGGGGTGGGACCCATATATAGATATAGCTACTGGCCATTTTTTGAATATGAAATAATTATTCTGCTCACTGAGGTTCCTCCCAGGAGCACAGCTACTAAACCTCAATGTATAGTTTGGTTCTTGAATATATCAGAAAAAAATTCAAACTCGCTGATGGCATTTTTAGGTCTCTGCAAGTGTATGCTGAACAGTGGGATCAGCCTACTTTAACTGATGTCTGTGGGAACGGCATCTTTGCTCATTGTCAGAAAAACTACACCTTTATATTACTCCAATAATGGACGGTGGTCTACTTCAACAACATGTTGTAATTTACATAATTTCAGTGTCACTCTATTGTCATCACATGACGACACATCAAATGTTGCAGCATAATTCCTGTTTTTGTGCACCCACAGCAAGGGAGGCAAAAACAATAGCTCTTGATGACTGTGTGAGGGTTTGTTTGTTTGCTTTGAGTGAAAATTAACTGTTAACTAGTCAAAAGAGTAGAAACTATTAAACTTTCTCTAAAACATTATGAATAAAGCTAAGATCTTATATCTGACTTCACCTTCAAACTGCAATCTTAAACTATTGACAGTATATAAGCAAGGTCCTGTGTTTGTCTTAAGTAGGAGCAAAATTATATGGTGCATAAATTTCATACCCTGAATTCTGACACAATATTTAATGGCAGAGGGTAAATGTAATGCACTGTAGAGCAAATCAACTGTGATTTTTCAATGCAATGGAGATTTGGTGACCTTAATTACCAGCATAGCTAATAACTGCCAGAATAACTGAAAACAACTGTGTGGTAGTACAGGCCATTTAAATTCAAACAACTTCAGTTTTCATATTTATCGTTTTCTCTCTTGTTGAACAAACAAATTATATTTTTTTAACTTTTTCAAATGAAAATCTTTGATTTTAAAGAAAATCTGTATCAGCACAACTGCAACTGCTGTCTGTTCTTGACTTCTGTCCAATATATAGTATAGTTTTTGTCCTCTTTGTTTTGCAGTTCATACTGGTCAAACCCTGACAGAAGCACGTAGACACATAATGCTTTCATTAGTTCACATGCACTGTTCAGTCACACACAGAGCCACAGCACAGATGGCTGTTAACAGTCCCATGGATCTTCTACCTTTGTGAAATCTGTCCCCTAACCAACCATCCACACACACACACACACACACACACACACACACACACACACACACACACACACACACACACACACACACACACACACATCCTGCCCTCATTTCACTGTTCTGTACTTCTCTTTCCTCATCCTCCTTCATCTTATAGAGCTTTTACTTCTATATTAGCACTTTGCTTCCCCTGCATGTTCCTCCCATCCTCTTTCTCTCTCTCTCTCTCTCTCTCTCTCTCTCTCTCTCTCTCTCTCTCTCTCTCTCTTATCCGTCTCTCTCTCTCTCTGGGTATGATAATCTTCAGCTCTATGCCATCTCCCCTTATGTCTGTCCGCCCTTTCATCTCTCAGTTGTTCAGTGTCTTTATCCTCTCCCCTGCTGGGAACACAGCTCAGTCGCTAGCTCTACAAGAGGACAGTGATGGGCTCTGAGTTTATAATTAGTCGTCCTTAAGGGCGCCCTGGCACTGTCCTCTGCAGATGGTGGGGACATTTTCATCCTACAGGGACAACAGCCAGGGCAAAACACAGGGAGGGACAAAAGAATAGACAAAGCAAATACATGCAGGATAACAAAAACAAAATACAAGCATTCCTGCATGTGCACACACATGCTTGCATGTAGGCAGTCTGTTTGGCTTTTACTCACTGTAGTTCCAGGTCATTTTGTTCCTGAGGGAGAAACTTGTAGAGCGCTACATAGGTGTGGATGGAGTGAACTTCAATGCGCTTGGGCACCTGGACACGGGGAGGCACAGGGATGGGAGGTAGTGAGACAGGAAAACAAATTTGAGGAGGAAAACAACCAGGGGTGACAGTCTGCATAGGGGGATTAAAAAGAGGCGGTACCTTCACACTACTCTCCTCTGCAGGAGTCTGAGCTTGGCCGCTGCTCTCGTCTTCCTCCTTCTCGATCTCGGTGTCAGGGACAGGGGTGTCTGGAAGTGGTGAGATTCTTTTGTTAGAAGGTGACAGGAGAGCACACACCCACACATATGCAATTAGGCATGTCATTTTTCACAACCAGACACAGTAAATCCCTCTCATACACAGACAGACATGCACAAGTAAACATAACTTTTGCATAGACACACATAGGCATGGACATACCGCACATATGCATATTCACATGTATGGAGACACAGACACAAAGCAGTGTTTACCCCCTGTCTCCTGAGTTATCTCTTCCTCCATGCTGTACTGTCTCTGCTGACTCTCCTCACCTCCCTCACCCTTATCAAAGAAGGAAATAGAGAAGGAAAAAAATGTTAGCGCCGAGATGTCAAAGGATGCATTTTGTAGTCGGAGTAAAACACTGCTCTGAATAATTCAGACTGCACACCTCACTGATCAGTAGTTCTCAGTGTTGTAAATGAACCTGCATACGTGACCTATATACTGCTAGGGTGTATAAAAGATGTTTTGGGAAATTTGCGCACTGGGTCAACTTCATGTTTAATGAGACAAAGACCAGTGTCATCTATTAGGCTCCTTGTAGAAGATACACTGGTGCTCAATTATAACTATATGCCAAGTTGGATTTAAGTAAGGGCGTGGCATAATTTTTTTTACGCAGAAATGTACCATTTGGGGAAATGCTCATGCACATTCCGGCACAGAGTTATCATATTAGGCAAACAACTGGATATCTTAGATTAGCACAAAGACTGGAAACCATGAAATAGCCCTGCACATAATCCCCATAAAATGGCAAACTGTCTTCTTTACTTTACAGATTAAGGCAGGCTAGCTGTTTCCCCCTGTTTCCATTCTTTGTGCTAAGCTAAGCAGATGTCTCTTGACTGTAGCTTCAGTCACTGCACAGATGTACAGTGGTATCAATCTTCTCAACTCTACGTCAGAAAGTGAATAGACATATTTCCTAAAATGTCAAACTATTTAAAGCCTATTTAAAAGCTTATTATCCAGCCAATTTGTAATTTGAAATATGGCATAACTATGAACTAGAGAGCATTGCGTAATGCTACAAATCACTGCACTGCGGTATCTCTGGTCTATTAAGTTGACCAATGGACCAACATCTTTACTTTATCTATGTCTTAATCACACAGGATCCAACTGTCCTCAACCCCCAACTACTGGGTGATGATGTCATACCAGGCTGCGTGTTGGTGACTCTGACAAACTGCCAAAACTGGAGCGGCTCATCTGTGCCAAGGACGTCCCGTAACGCAAGGCAGCATACACGGGGTCTACACGCATCCGCGCAGCCTCTGAAACCACACACACACATTCATATAACTCATGCATGCACACACTTTATTTACAAACACACGTAAATTATTCACACAAAGACACAGCTCCACACACACACTACAGTTTGAACTGCACACTGAGATTACACTGTACAACATTATTATTGTGCCTGTGCCAATCTGGAGGAACCAGAGGGTCTAAATATAGTTGGTCCAGAACCAAAGTGACCCACTTTAGATCTGAGAGAGGACAGCAGCCAAAAATTAAGGAGATATCAAGACATTCCAATAAATCTATGCGCTTTGATTTATTTATACATTTACTTATTGGCAGGAGATGTGTTTTAGTTTTAATAGCTGTAGTTGAGTAGAAAGGGATTAAGAGATGAGATTGAAAATATGGAAATCCTCAGAAAGTCTTCATTGCTACATTTCATGTAGATGGCAGTGCTTGGTGCTATCAGAGTATTTCTGAAGTTAGGGATTTGCTTTTTTTTCTCCATCCAGCTCAACACGAGTTAAATGGAGGACAGAATGATTTCTCTGCAGATCCACATGTGATGTGTGTGTGTCCAGGATGAGGTTGTAATGGTTTCATATTGAAGTCAGTATCTCCACGCTTTCGTCAGATGGATGAAAAATTAAACAGGAATGCTATAAACAGACATTTGGCAACAAGAACATCTTTAGTGCAACTGGTGTGAGTATTTAGAGGTGATAAAGCTCATTTGTGCTTTAAATTGATTCTAGCAGTTTCAGTGAAGAAGATATTTCTTCAAGAGCAATTAATTGCAGGGAGAGAGTAAATGAAAGAAGGTGGTGATCTATTACTCTTCTCCTCTATACAAATAATTGTTTTTTATCGAGTCACTGACCTTCAGCTTCAGTGCAGAAAAGAGATATGGCTACATATCAGTCTTCGTATATACCTAGGCTTAGGCACTTGTGACTTAAGCTTATTTTGACAAACTACAAGCTAAACAAATCAATAACAACCACAATTTAACAACTGACTAATATTTTAGCCCCAACAACCTTAACTTTAACTACCACAGCTGTTGCACTTGTCTTAATAAAATCATAAAAACAAATCCTTATAGATATAATTTCAATTAAGAGTTAAATCAGATTTTAATTGTCATTGCAGGATTGCAACATACATTTCATGTACTTCACTCCAGCAGCTATTAGACTCTCTGCCATGAGGTTTAATATGTGACAATAAACTGATTTGCCAAAAGGCTGTAGATGGGAAATTACAGGGTCTGTAAGCAAATGCATCATAAAAATTGTCTTCTAATATTAATGCGTGTAAACATGAGCTCAGTATTTTACTATGTCTTTTTTAAAGCAATAATTATGAGGACACTTTGCAATGTGTGATTGTGAGTTTGTCAGGTTGCAGTCTCAGCTGGCCCTGGCAGATTCCCAGGCGTCATGGTGCTTGAGCTCGGGGTGATGACTGAGCTGTAGGTTAATTGTACCCTGATTCATGGATAGTACAAGGAAGTGACAGCATGAGGTGCTAACCCTGATTCAGCGAGGCATACAATATGTGAGATGAAGGACTTTATCACCTACACAGATTTCCATCCAAAGGTAAAGCAAAGAAAAAACAACATCCTATTCAGAGACGATGTTGAAAGGAAGAACAAATTCAGGTACTTTTAGGCCAGTGAGTCTAAAAACAGTCCACTGTGTTTTAGCCTTCAGCGGGTTCCTCGGCAAAGGCTATGTTCACACTGCAGGCACAAGAGGCACAAATCAGATTTCTTTGCTCATAAGTGACTCATGTGAACAGCACAAATCACATGAATCTGATCTTTTCAATTCTGATTTGGGCCGCTTTCATATGCGGTCCAAATCAGATACAGGTCTGATTTTTTGTAATGTGACCTCAGCTTGAACAGACGTATCAGAATTCATGTGACTTTTATATCACTCAACATTCGTCATGCGGGTCACTTCAGGACCGTTACCTGTTCACACTGGAATGTGATATGGGCCAAAAAAAAAAAAAAAAGAAAAAGAACAATTGAGTGCTACGGCTTGCTGTGCGAATGTACACAAAGAGACGGTGTTTCTATTTGAAATAAAGGTGGATGTTACGATATAGAAGGCTGCTTAGGACTCAGACTAATCAGAAATTAGGCAGCATTTAAATGTTTATCAAGCTTTAAACATGCAAGCTGTTGTGCCAGACAATGAATCCATACCCTGCATCAGTCCAAGGATATACAGCACAAATCATAAACAAAGATATAAAAACATAAACATTAGAACTTATAAATATTTATTCACATACTTTCAGGGTGCAGACCGTCCGTCAGCCTCCAAGAGAAGCTGAATTTGTTCTTCCTCTTTATATTTTTCCACTTCATGCTCCTCGTTGTCAGGTGAGATGGAGACAGTTCTGGTTTTATTACAGTACACACAAGCACGCAAAAATCTAGAAATAAACCAAAAGGCTAGACAAGAGCAACATCACAAAAACAAAAGCACATGGGACACATACATAACAATGCACACTTGCACTCATTCATAAACACACGCACACACACACAGACCCTCCAGTATGCTCACCTTGGCTTGGCTGAACTTCCTTGACGACAGACAATTGGTCATTGACGAGCATCGGTGAGCTGAAGTTTCGTTTGAATGCTCCAGACTAATGGAGGAGAAGAGAAAAGAGATTTTTTCAGTTTCCATTACTTCCTGTTTATAGAATATGTTGATTGGGGAAAGGGCTTAATGTAGTGATTTTAGGACATTAATGGAGTCATTTGAAAATTACTGAATGAGAAACACGTCAAGACACACTGACAGACATGCAAGCCCACACAAAGTGGTGCACATGCTGCAATAAAAGAGCTAATTTCTGCCATCAAGTTACAAACTGAAGCAAACTGTTAGCGCTCTTTGCTGCTAATTATGTACAATGAATTCACTCAACCACTTACTTGTGTGCACATGGCTAACACACAGGCATGGACATGTGATTCTGTGAGTGTGTGTGTCCGCAAGACTGCAATTTCACACTGAATTAAGTACTGTAAGTGTTTCAGCTGAGATATTGGTTTGTCTTTGACTTGACTTGCAAATGAGCCACTCATATTATGTTGAAGAGAGAAACACACTGTGGATCAAAGGTAATAAGTGGTACCTTTGTTCCTCTGAAGAGGCCCAGGTTCTGGTCTGATGATATTTTACCTTTCGCTGACCTCATCAATCCCCTACCTTTCCTTCTCTCTGTCTTTGTGGTCCTCTTTCAAACTGCAGTGAGCAATCCTGAACACAATGCTCTTAAAATGTTCCAAGTGGCTCTCAGAAGGCCTTGCTACTTGCTGCATGCTAATGTCCTCTACTCTACACTAGAGGTTAACACAAAATCTCTGTCTGAGATCACTCCCAATTTACTGCCTAGTGCACTATACGCATCTTCTACCTTCACTCAGTGTCTAAATTCAAAGTGCACAAATTTCCACAAAAGAATAAAGAACACAGTACCCATAGCATTTACATTACTGTTTGCTAAACAACACACAAAGCAAAATCTTTACCTTTGAGCCCAAGGTGTCTTACATCAAAATGTTCTGCTTAGTATCTGAGTGTTTATCATTATGGGTTAGTGGATAAGTTAGTTATGAAGCATTTTTAGACACACCTAAGGATCAAGCTGAGTTATAAATGTGAATATTCTAGTCTTTTTTGGCCCCAAAGGTAAAGTGATGTGATTAATGGATTTGTTTCAGCCACATCAGCACTTTACATCTCATAATAAAAATACACTGAAAACAGTATCCAGCCCTTTACCATATGCATCTGTGTTCTGCATTTTAACTTGAACTGCACATATGGTTGGTATTTACTGAGTTTTCCCTCAGGCTGAGAGTGTTACAGTGATTTTGAATGTGTGTCTGAGTGTTACTGCAATGGAAGGTGGTGTGCAGTGATGTAGTGTTAAAAAATCATAAAGCAATTCATACAGCTGCTTGACTAGCTGCTGTCCCTGAGTGATATAATAATTGAACATATTTTTGCATTATCTGTTCTATACTCAACTGCATGAAACGTCCCGTTCATATCAAATATAAAGTGCAGGTAAAATTCTGAGTGTCTAACAAGTCCAGATTTATGGTAAAATTACCATGGTAACAGTGTTTCTGCTCAGGTTATTCAAATCATGATTGCAGTCCAAACTATTATTGCTGCTGGGTGTTTATAATGTGCCTATTAAAACTGTCAGGGACAAATCGGAGAAATGGGACGTCAGACCGGCTTGAGGAAGAGAAGCTCAGCTACAGCCAGTAGTAGCTTATTTGAGCTCAGCACAAATACTGGTAACAGGTAGAAACAGCGAGCCAGCAAACCTTCTGTATGAACGTACAACAAAGTCAACATACCAGCAAATCTAAAGCTCACCAGTTAACACGTAACAGCTTGTTTGATTAATCTTTAAATCCGAAAAAAGCGTATGAGATTTATGACATTAATATAGCAGCAAACAACAATTTGCTACATAAAGATATAATGGAGTCACGGTATCCTGAGCAGAGAATGACATCACTCACCCTGTGTTTTTATCTCTCTGTGTCTTATTCACAAAGTAAGACAGTTTTGGTGGTTTTTATTTTGATTCTGTACACATTGAATGAACTTTGGAATTGTTGCAATGATCTGTGAAGTAAAATTACCATTTTCTGCTGGCGGGCAATAGCGATTTCTGGTTTTGTGAACAGCTTTTTTTTGGTTAAACAAAGGTAAATCTGTAGGGATCCTTTTCATAATGTTGCCAGAAACTTAATCTGATCTGAGCCCATCAGTGGCAAAAACAAGAACTTTAGTTGGACGTAATGATGCGTGCATTTGAGAATTAGCTTACGCAGCCTGTTTTTAACTCTGTGAATTAAGGGTTTATTTTGACCAAACCAGCGATGGTGATTATTGGAAAGACTGTGGAAAGATTAACAAAGATAGTTTTAGTAAGTTTAATTTAGTTCCTGTCCACTTTGTATGTGTTTTACTATTATCCACAAGGTAAGGTTACTGGTTTGACCAGAACATTCAATTGTTTTAAGCTGAGATTCGTACATTTTCGTACATCTAATGTTTAAATTCGTTGTTTTACAGGAGTCATCTACTGGCCAGTATCTTGGCAAGGGAGCAGTTGCTAGGCAACCAGTGAAGACTCCAGGATGTAATAGTCAAGAAAGAGTCTGGCACATAATCAAGGTTGGCTCTTGAGGTATGGCAATTGCCATTTAAAAAAAATGGGGATATGGTGAATTTGACGTTTTTACTCGTTTTACTAGTTTTTGTGTGGATTAAACAAACAAGACTGGTAATTAGTGAGCATTACTGATGAAGAGGATTTTATATGTTTGGACAGAGCCAGACTAGCTGTTTCTCCCAGTTTCCAGTCTATGTGCCACAGTAAGCTAACCACCTTGGGGCTGTCGGGCTATTCCTTTAGGGATATTTTTACTGAATATTTTAATGAGATGCAACTGGGTACTAGTAGAAAGACATTTTTCACCAGAAACTGGAAGTGACATTTTTTATATTTTCCAATTAACAGACAAAGAATAGCACCAAAGAAAATTGATACACAGATTACAGATAAAAAGCTGAAAAAGCAATATAGCCATAGTCAGTGGCTATGTTGAGAAAAGCTATACAACTATACATGAGGGCAACATCAAATTCTCCAAGTGTATTCGCACCTTCCCATGACACAGCTGCTGCGACAGTTCTGAGGTGCACCACAGGTGAGCAGCCATCTTGCACGTTTTACACCGTAGAGCCTGTTTGGAGTTTCCTGCAGAGAGGGACAGAGATGATAGAATGAGAGCAGAGGACGCAGACATGGAGGCACCCACAAAAATAAATACTCAGCAGGCTGAAGATCTGCAACAGCCAGAAAGTGCTAACAAACCAAAGTGGCCTTCGGATCATATGAGCAGGTTTCTCTCTGCTCAGGTAGAGGATGTAATCAAGAGCTGTTTCAGGTTTACCTCTGCACTGCTTGCAGAGCTGACAATAACAGCTTTATAATCAACAGCTCTTCTTCCAAAACAACTTGGAGAGATTGGAAACCAGCTGGAGATATTTCAATCATAATCGATTTGGCATTGAGTCATCTTGCTTTTTCACCTTTGCTTTCCAGTGTTTCAGTGATATAGTAACTCTCTGAGTATTGAGACGTTTTCCCTTTATTTGTTAGGTTATGAGAAATCCTCTTTTAAGGGTTGAATGTATTGAACCATAAAGAGGCGGAATCTCTCTTCATCTCACAAACCAAAGCTAAATAGAATTCTGCACTTGTCGTAGCTGGGGGATCACATTGACAGATCTGTTATGGAGCAGAAAAAACAATCAAACAAATTGGATGACTTGATGAGAACATCTTTTACTTTGAAGAGGAAGAAATGAATTCTACTTCATCAGCTTAACAAGGAGACAGAGGCTGGACTGTGTTTGGGGACTGCAGAGGAGTACAGCTAGAACGAGGTGATGCATTACATAAATAAACCCACAATGCATGCAAAAAACCAGCACATACGCAAAAGCAGAGGACCAGGTCAGAGTCTGTAATCAATCATTGTGACAGGAAGTAGATTTAGCAGAAATACTAGCAGTGGCCAGTAGTTCATGCAAGCGGCAAATTAGGGATAAAAGCACATATCTGCACCACAGCAATCCCTGTTAATAATCTAATGGTTTCTTCACGCTTTAAACACTGAGAGAGCAGCATTGAATACATAAAGTCCAGTTCTGAATCTAATTTCAAAGGGATTAGAAAAACTTTTTTCCCCCTTTAATACAGAAGATTCTATTATACTCATGCTACCATACTTTTAATGGAATAGTTTCAAATTTTGGGAAATACGCATGAGTCAAATTATATTATTCCACTTGCACATCTGTACATTTAATCTATGCATAGATATATTATATAAATATATGTATAAATATAAAAAATAACAAAGTAGACTTAGTTTAGCAAAAAGACTGAAAACAGATAGCTAAAGTTAATAAAAAACTGCCAATTTCAGCACCTCTTAAACTCATAAATTATCTCATTTGTTTAATCTATATAAAATCTATGTGTAGATTATTGTGTTAAAACAACTCCAGGAAGTCCCTGTTTAGAGCAAAGGAACTGTCAAGCACATTAACCTTGTAAATCGGCAAATGTTGTTTATACACTTGGTATATAAATAAGTATAAAAGATGTAATGTGTCAATTGGTGAGCTTTAGAGGTGCTGGTAGGTGGATTTTGTTATGGTTGAACAGAACCAGAGCAGCTTTTTTCCTCTGTTTTCAGTCTTTGTGCTAAGCTAACTGCTGCTTATATATATTTCCCAAATGTCAAACTTTTGCTTTAAATTTACAGTGTGTAACATGTATTCACTGCAGTAGCCCAGAATGGATAAACCAAACAAACATGCTCTAGATAGGGCCTTTTCGCGTTTTTCGCCAACATATTTCACCTACATAACAGGAAGGTGAGATAAGGGGGGTTATGATCTGCAACTACACCACTAGATGCCACTATATCCTATTTACTCGTCCTTTTAGGAGTTGTACACTCTTAAATTCTGCTGTGGTTATAAAACACTGTCCCTACGTAACTAACTAAGTGATGTTCCATGAGCCCAGTTTGCACTACTGGATGCCACATAAACGGAGACCAGAAATCTTGTGAAAACTGCAGCAAAAAAACATAGAGAATGAGGGAAGTAAATTGAGCACCTTACCCACTATCATGTGCTTGCAGTGCTGGCAGTTGGTGGGCTTGCGAAAGACATGGTCCTGGAAACAGTGGGTAATCTGAGGCCGGGATGGCTTGGTGGGCAGCGATGGGGAAAGGCTGAGAGAGGGGGAGTGGGAGGAGATGGAGGGGTTGGGGCTGAGAGATGGTGAAATGGACGGTGAGCGGTCGCCCACGAGAGGAGAACCAGGCAACAGTGGGGGAGAAGGAGGCGGTGGGTCAGTGATGAAATCCGGGGGCAGGCGAGCATCACTGTAGGACCTTTGGAAGAAGTTCTCCACACTTTTGCTGCGCATGATGGTCTTAAACGACAGCGAGCGTTTTAGTCTCTGGAGCTGCACACACACATTGACAGACACAGAGAAGAGGGTACACCAAGAATAAACACAAGATAAACAAGAATGCTGCGCCACATTTAGGAGCAATAACAAATGTCCAATATGCCCTCAGGACAGCACAGGCAATATCCCAGCATCCATAAAGAAAGCACTCTGCTCTGATCTGTACACCGTGGGGAAAGCGAGTGACTCATGAAATGCAATATTACCTCATAAGGAAACAAAACATTAATAGCAAAGCTATCTGTATGTTCCCTTCATTGAGACGAAACAGTACTGTATCCTTCGCACAATCACATATAACAGGGCAGTTTGTGCATTTGGCCTATGGCTAAACAAGCTAAGCTTCTTCTCTTTGAGAACACCCACGGCCATATATTGAGGCATGGCATTTGCTTGGTAGTGGTGGCCGGGGGGCTATTGCAATGAACCAAAACAAGACAGTTTACACAGAATTATCATTTATCTACAGCCTATGTTCAGGGCTCTTAATCAGATGGAGTCTGTTCATTGGACCGACTGAACCCGCCACAGGTTTGCAATAAACATGCATTGCCAATGGATCCCTCCTCACAGGGCCAAACATGCATGCCTACAACATACAACAATATCAAATTGCATGTTTAATGATGATATAACCAGCCATGCTCATATCTTGAAAGCTGTATTGTCCAACAATTGATGGTGGCTACATTTCAAAAGTCGAGCGATCAGACAACAAAACATCACTTTAGCAACTGTCATGTCTGTAAGCTCTGCTCTCTGCAGCCATCTAGCATTGATTGGCTAGATAAATGCATGTTTCCTGACATTTCCCTCCGGCTCTGTATACAGATGATGATGCTAGTTTCCTGGGGGATAGGCGGCCATTTGTTACCCTGACATGCAGTGGCAGCGGGAGAGCATTGTGAGGCCGTGATCGTGTCACAGGGGAAGAATGGATCAACACAGACAGACAAGCAGACAGATAATCAGTAGGCAACAGACACTCTGTGTGCACACGCACTGTCTGTCTGCCTGTCTGCGCTCACTCTGCTCTGCGCCAAACATAATCACTTTACAGGGACATGCTGTTTACAGCTCCGTGCGTCTGGGAATAAGATATGAAAACAGTTTGTCTATTCGAGTTTGTGTGTGCGTGTTTGTGAGGGACACGTGGAGGTAGAGCAAGAGAAAGTCTATGTGTTAACTGATTGCAAGTATGCAAAGTCCATATGCTTCCTGTAAATCTCTGTTAGAATTTATCAGATTACACTGAGTTGTGGTTTTATTAATGATGTAAATAGGGCGAGAAAATATTGTCAGCCTGACTCATGTCAGTGAGTCTGATTTCCAATGTTTACTCTCTGGTAGAAGATCTAGAATTCCTCACTGTAATCTAAAGCACTACCAGCATTCATTTAACCTATGTTGTTACCTGCATGGGATGTGCAGTATGTCGTCAGCACTCCTTGTGTATGTACTGTATATGTTTGGGATAAGACTGGATGAGACTGGTTTCAATACGTTTTGCACATATGTATGGTTCTTGAATTTGTTTGTCCTGTATTTATTAGATTTGATTGATTTCTGTAATTTTATTCTGCTAATTTACAACCCAAAACAAGTTTACCAATAGAGACATTAAAGTATGTCATAACTATGTTTTTACTAGTTGAGACAGTTGAGACTAAACGTTCTCACCACAATCTAATACTACTCCAGCATTGCTGTTCTATAACATTGTTGGACTCATGATAGCCCAGATTAATAAAGTCTATCTATCTATCTATCTATCTATCTATCTATCTATCTATCTATCTATGATAGACACAAAAAGTAATCAATAAAGTAGAACCAGAGATATTGTGTTTTTATTCCATGCATTCTTCTTCCTTGTCAAAACCTGGCTCCTGTGTTACCCACAATGCAACTCGACCACTGACTGTCACAGAGTGTTTATATGCTAGTAGCAGCTCGAGCCACTGGCCTCAAGCAGTGGTAAGGAGGGGACAGAGTGATCTGGTAATTTCACTTCTTTCTAACTCCAGGGAGCGGTGTCTTGCCAAAACCAGAGCTGGGTGAGCAGGCAACGGGATCGAGACCAGCAGCCTCTCCAGCAATCATGGCAGAGGCAAAGAGACCAAAAAGGACGTTGACAGAGGAAGATAAGAAGAGAAAAAGAAAGTTACAGAGCAAGAGGCCAGACAAGACAAGGTCGGCCCTGGCTTTTAATCGTTGCCGAGAGCTTTGCAAAATAAAAGGCTGCAAAACAGATGGCAAGCTGGCCTTCTTGCTGTTGGACTAGTAAGTAATATTAGCTTGCTTGCTTGTGTTGTTGCACTTACTTGATGTTTGGCTTTGTTAGTTTACAGCTGTCTATATTTATGACAGTGGTGTATAAGTGAATTGCACACTGTGGGGGCCCCAACTTGCAAAAAATATTTCTATAGATTCTTGCATAATGTTGCTTTAAAGGCGCTCATTGAAATCTACATTTTCATGACAACTCTGCAAACAGCTGCTGAAACATTGACAAACAATCAATTAACAACTATAACCTATAAACTCTTTATGAAGAATGAATGCCTTATTAGAAGGTGTTAACATTTTTTAATCATGTTTGTTAATGGTACTGTAATGCTGACACATATCTCCACATTTTGTGTGCAGCATCACAGTCTTGAGCCTAGTTCTCTCAATCAGAGCAGATGAGTGCTGGCATAACAGCTCCAGCTAGAGCACATGTCTCAATTACAGCTAATCTAATCATCTGTCAGTGTGTGAGCCTAAAAAGCATTCCCGTTAGCTTCCATTTGAACATTAGCTGAGGGCGTCATACTTCTGACTCAAAGCCAGTGTGATAACGTGTTCGATTTGGGTCATCAGTACACACAGTAACCATTCATGTGCATGAATTTCGTACATGAATTCCTGTGACAGGTGAGATGCCAATATTGATGAATATGAGTCAGAGTGAACTGAGCTTCACCACAGATGATAGACCTGGTTGTGACGTATGATCTAGTCCCATATGTATAATTAATCCCCTGCAATGTCATTACAATGCCTGTTTCATTTCTCCACGTCCGGTATGTCTGAAAGTACTAAATAAAGCCCTTCAACTGCAGACAATGCTTCTCTCCCAAAAGACACATTTGAGTTTGGTTTAGCCTGCTTGTCTCTCCACAAATTATTTATAATATTCACAAATGACTCAGAGTGCTGACTCAGTGACATACAAAATGCATAATGTTGCCCAGATTTACATGCACCTGTACATATTCTTTAAGCAGCAACAATTACACTACTGCAGACCATATTTTGATGAGCCGTCTCAGTGGACCTGTAAAAGCCTATAATTCTCACTTCTTCGATCCATGTACCAACCCCCAGTCATTCTCACATGTAGCCAACATAAATGGCCAAAATCAATGGTCCATAAAGGGACAGCACAGTTTGAGCAGACTTAATTCAATGATCAAGCTTTTATTTCACCCAAATGTGTCTCTTCCTCCCTCCATGAGAATTCAAAGGGGCCAGGGGCCAGGCTGAGATATATATGGGATGCTCCAGCCTGTCCAGAGGTCAAGACTGAACAACAAAGGCTTGGTCCCAATGGGAATGTGACCATAAATAAAGCTTGTGGCCATAATATGCTTTAGTGTGGACTGTTTTAAATGCTTTACCTAGCAGAGAACATTTCAAATGGAAAAGCTTTACTAGTAACTCTGGCTGTGTCTTCATTCAGAGGCTATAAAGGTCAACATACACACTCTCTCAAGCTTTAACAGTCTGGAAAAGGTCTTGGTTGTGGGGTCTGCATCTTCCAATTTTTGTTTCTTTGTAAAACCAACTATCAAACAGTCACACCACTTTATGAAGAGAGTGGCTAGGGGTGCATAGGTATTACAGTGGAGAGATTTGTGCTAATTATTTTCTCCGATTTCCACTTATTCTTACTTCTACCATTGTACATGGTCACTCCTGAATTTTGCCAATCACCTCTGTGGAAATTGGGAAGAAACAACCACTGCAGCACTTCTACTCCACAGTTTAAAATCACAGTGTCAAAGCTTATATTCAACAAAGTGCATCTATGTGACCTATAAATGCAATATTTGACTTTGTGTAGCCTGTAATTTCCACTTCTGCTAGGCTTCCTGCCCCTCCATGGTTAGTTGCTCTATAAAAACCTGTGTTTTTTGGGTTGTTTTTTTTTTTGCCATTGTGAACGTCACACCGACCTTGTTCTGAGTGAGGATATTTCAGATTTAAGAAGGATAATCGTGAACTGAAAGACACAGTTTCCTGGCTCAATCCAATTCTAGGTCATCAGCAGAATATGTGGTTACAGAGGAAATTATCAGCTGCAGGTACATGATGTTTTTAGGGATATAATTATTTAAACCTTCACTGCGTGGCCTGTAAAACTGAAATAGGAGACAGGAAACCACTGTAATTGGACAACCTGGAGGTTTTACTACAGAGGAACAAACAAATTGCAAAAAATCACAGGGAGTGAGCAAAAAATGACACATATCATAAAATCTCTGAGTGAAGCACACAAACAGCTTTGGTCTTTATCATTACGAGGAGGGTATTGAACCAGTTTCGTGTCCAAACATTTCCCCTCTTGCCTAAAGTTATTATGCACAGCAGCCTGGCAGATTCCCACTTTGAATACAAGATAAGATGTATAATCACAAGCTGCTGCCATCATTCTGTCCCTATCGCACAAACATGTATATACACACACACAGTCATTCATGTGCTTGCTCATACACACAGACCCCCTTTAAAAAATTTACAATTCCCCCCCACGCATTCAGCTAAGCTTGCTGGCAACTCTCTCCCCCTCTTTTTCCCCCCCCCAATCACTATTCACACACATAACCCAAACACAACACAATGGCTATCAGAGCAACCCCCTTGTTGTTTGCTTGGTGTGACAAATATCTCTAAAAGATACTTTCCCCCACCCCTCATTAGTGATACACAAATAGATATAGCCATTTGTTAAACTACTTGTAGCCTTCTAGTGTCCAGTATTTCAGCAGCTAACACCTTTCTCTGTAGTGTCACATCAATAAACATCACAGCAGTGAAGGTGTTACATTAATTAATAAAGACCTTGGCCTACTTCAACCTCCCTCTTCAACTTAGTCCCTAACTCACGTCACTCATATCTTTAAAATGAAGTGATAGTTAATAAGATGTGAAGTGAACTTAAACGTGTGGGTACTTTTAAAGAGAAGGGGGAAATTAACTCGTTGGTAAGCTTTGTAGTGTATAAATGACAGCGTCGACACCAGAAGATCTGTGATCTGTTTGAAGATATGTGTACCCTATAGATCATTAGCAACACTTCAGCATTCACTATGATGACTGCCATTAACAGTGTCCTGTGTAAACAGGTGTGTGATGAAACCAGAACGCTTTTAATATAAATGAGTCTGCCTAATCCAGTCACGAGGGTCAGAAATGTTTTTTTGTCTTGTTTTTTTTCTGATATTGATGTTTATTATAAGAAAACTGGTATTCAACCCAATGTAGTATGAACAGTTATGCATCGCATCAGACCAAACTGTGTAGATTGGTACAGTTTGACCAATCTACACAGTTTGGTCTGATGCGATACTCATTTTGTTAATTTTGTCATTCAAGATTTGCTAGGAATTTTGTAAAATTATAAAACAATACAATCATATCATCACAATATTATTCACCGAAAGACAATAAATGATGATATTGAATACCCAGTTCTAAAATCATATGATTGCAACTTCCTTGGTTCATTTCCAGTCAGGGACCCATCTCTATCTCCCCTATGTCTGCGTACACTGCCTACCCTTGTATATTTGATAAAAACCCTTGTATGCTAAAAAACTGAGATTTTTTTTTTGCTAAAGATGTTTTACTCTGGATTAAACTACCATCACTCAACATACTTTGTTCAAGTGTTTTTATGAAGCACCAGAGTGAAATATCTCCTTCACAAACTGTATGGTGCGTGATTACTTGTTATTTAGCTTTGGAGCTGTGACAAGGTCTCATTTTCACACTGTAGGCAATGCCAGTCACCTCTTATCACTCAACCGGCTGTGTGTGTGTGCGTAAGTGCTCACATTGAATGAAGGAGATTGGGTGAAGAATCCAAAGGGGACACATGGATGAATTGTGATGTTCTAATCACACTACGGCAAGCTGACAAATGGGCCAATCTCCCAAAAACTGTGCATAGGGTATTATTTCAAGTCTTTATATCTCTGTGGTCAGATTGTGCTGTGTACTCATCTTGGATAAAAAGAGGTTTACCTGTGCACTTCTATCACAGAAAAGGCTCCCAAAGCATCAACAGCCTTGAGAGACCAAACAGCTCTCAACAAAGAGGGACACTATTGGCTGATGACTGCTGCTCAGGCATCTCATCTGCTCCACTGCTCACATTTCTGCCAGCCTTGGCAATAGACCACAGTACATTGTTGGGAGCCGGGGAGAAAGTCCATGCTTCCATTCCTCCTAATCCTCTGGCGCCGTTTTCCTCTGTTCCTGATTCCTGATATCCATCTTTGTGGGAATTTGCTGCTGGTGAATTTCAAATAGCATTTGTTATCTGAGCAAGTCACTCCCTCTCTCTCCCTGTCATCCTTATCTAATTAAAAACATCATGGACACATGGCTATGTGTCTGATAAGATTGCTTCAAAAATTACACCCTGTAGCAGATTTTCTTGTTCTCTTTGGAATGGTCTTGATTAAGTGTTTAAAATAGATCTGGGTGGAATATAGATGTGTAGGATTTTCAGTCTCCTGGGATTACACCTGTGCATAGTCGAGACAACCCGACTTCAAGATTCTCCTGCAACATTCCTTAATAGACTCTTATAGGGAGCTACTGAATGCCGAACATTTAAAGGGAGTTCAAAAGCTGTTACAATTAACCTTTCAACATCTATGAGCATTAAGGTTGAAGGTTAAAGTGAAATCTATTCACACACAGAGCCTTGGAATTCAACCAGTGTAGCCTCAATTGATTGGCTGGTGATTGAATGGTCAACCCAATAAGTTTGTGGTTTAAATGGTTGTGATGTGGTGAAGCCAGAGCAGCCAATGAATCATGTGAATACCAATCAGTCCTGCTTGGCGCATAGTATCATCCAGTATTTTTGGGAGCAGCTGGTGAGGAGAGGGGAACGGGAGAGGACCGCACTGGAAAGAGTGGTGATAAAATGGCTCGCAACAATGCTGACTTTCACGCTCCTCATAGAGGACATCAAATATTTAGATGAGGCACAGAGGCAATCAGCTGGTGAATTTCTGACTGTGCTGCAGGAGTGTCACTTTGCTATGTCCACAGCATGTGTGTTTGGGTGTGGGCGGAGAGAGGAGGCATGGGGTGGAGACAGCTGAGGGAAAGTTGTATCAAGTGTGTAATGAATCAAGGGTCTTAAAAGCCCTCCATTAAAAAGCAGGCATTGAGAAATCTTTCACAGCTCCTGTACTTGGAGGCCAGCCCTTGAAATCTTTGTTTATACAGTCATGTCAACAAATTAAATGGAATCATGAGGACACTTGGTATTACACTTGAGGCTCAGGCAGACCTACTCTGTACAGTAAGCAGTAGCATTCATTGCAATCATTCCTTTATTTAAATTCTACTCATGTAAATGCATATATGGACAAATCCCTTCGTGTGTCTGTGTGCGCGCGCCCGCAGGAAGTGGGTTTGGAGAAGGGGGAGACAGTGACATCAGACCATACGTGTGAGGTTACACCTAGTGACGCAGTCATGATGAATACAACTGCAATTGTAAAGTGTTGTCATCAATATTACATAAACCAGTGGAATAATACAAAAACTGCAAAATTACAGGTAAAAAAAAAAACATTTAAAAAATGACTCCTTATTCAGCCTGCAATCATTTTGCTTTCAGTGTGTGGAGAAAACTGCTCTGCAAAGTTCATTGCTTGAATCTGGGTGTCTCGCTACAGAGATTCGCGCACGAACCATAGATCAGATCATTAGAGATGACTGTGCTTAGTTTGCGGAACAAAGCTCAAAACTGTGGGTACTTGCCTTAGATGTCATCGGTTGGATGGACATGGTGCTTGGAGAGCGCTGGAGCTGCGACTCGCTCTCCATCTCATTGTTCTCTGTCATCATTGATAGCGAGATGAAAAGAGTCGTTCAAGACACAAACAATTAAAAAAAAACTTTTAACTCCTTAAACTGTGTCCGGTCGGTAGATAGTCTCCGGCTTTAGCCATACAAGAGCTTGACAAAGTGTGACAGATCCACATAACAGGGATTTGTGCGCGCTGTGAAGTGGACGCCGTATGGCCAGTTGCTCTCCACACACCAGTTGCAAGCGTATAGGTTGATTAAACAGTTTTCTAAACATACATACACACATACATACACACACACACACACACACACACACACACACACACACACACACACACCAGCTGTTTATATTTCGCTCATGTCATGCAAGGACAAGCATTCAGGAAAAGGCTGAACCTCGCGTATGGCTAATTGTAATGTCCCTTGATGCGCATCGGAAAGCTCCAATGTGGCACGATTCCGTCCTACAGTTGCAAGAAAGGTTCAAATCAGCAAAACATCGATGTGAAAATACCAGCTTAATACGGTAAGATCCAAACAAAGCATGTGCTCTGGAAGGCACTGGCTAGGTGTAAATCCAAAGCGAACTGTGCCTTTCACCACTGCACAGACTTAAATTTAAGCGCAATCTGAGGCACGCCTTCCCGTGCGTCTGAGGCGCATGATTGGGGCAATTTCTACAACTCTGCCAGGATTCATTTAGAATAAATCACGGTCGTGAGTGGGGGCTCATTTTAAGCCCAAATATAGAATAGCTCACAATTCGCAAACAGAGAGATGATTTTCTATCTGAGGTGATTGTGTGTGTGTGTGTGTGTGTGTGTGTGTGTGTGTGTTTGTAATGAAAGCAGGATGTTTCGTACATCTGTTTAATTTTACTGTTGTTGCTACATAATTGCAACTACTTCCAACAGGTCAATTAATGATGCCAGTTGGAATTTATTAAATATTCACGTTTCACAAATACAAGTACATACAGAAGCAAAGCCACCAAATACACTACATATATAAAATGTAATTCTAGTAAATACCATATTAAACATCAAAGTGAAATTAGTTATGTCATTATTATTATGAATCAGTGCCACCAAAGTGGATGGACATGCCTATTTCTTCTCCTTTAGTGGAACAATGACCCATATGGGATGAGCTGGACTACTTTCAGTTTATTTTTTGAGCTTTGGAGAAACTCGTTATCATTCATTCTTTGTCATTTGCCACCTGCCCTCTGATGCACTGAATACAGAAGCTGTAGCTGCCATAGGTGCTGCCCTGCAGAGATAGAACTACGTCAGGGTCGGTATGATTTGTTTAAAGCAGCTACAATAAGGCCAGAGGATTGGTACCTCTGATTTGAAATGCAATTTCATTTCCAACCTGGTTTTACCAGCACCCTGGGGTGAGTTCCTATTGATTTCCCCCTTCAGAACACATACACTTAAGATGAAAGAGAATGAAGTAATAAGGCTGTGGTCACAGCCACTGATTTTTGTATTAACCTGATGAAGGTAAAAGACAGAGAGTTAAGGCAGTAAGTGGTATTTTAAATTGAGTTGTATGCTAAAACTGCATTTTGTGGTGTGATTGTGTGATACAGGGAGAAAAGACTTCTAAATGTGATTTAGGGTTTTTTCGATCTGCTCTGCATTATTTCACCTAAGCCTGACATCAAAGTTTGCTCTAGCTGTCAGAAAGTCTTCGACGTGGGTGTGTAAGAGAAAAGAAGGAAGACAAAGGGAGAGAGCCTCTGTTATCATCACATTAATTATTGCTTCACTCAGAGCCAGGGCACAGCAGATAGCAGAGTGACTGTTGAAAGGAACACTCTGCAAAAACCCCAAACAAAAGCGAAGTCAAAAGTTGTCTAGCGTGTAGCAAAGGCTTTGCTGTCGAAAATAAACAGAAACACAATGTCTTGGTGGAGCGGTGTGCCGTGAACTGTGATCTGGTCCGTCTGTGTTCAAATGCAAAACACACAGAACAGTTGAGAGAATTTGCTGAAGGAGACACACACACACACACACTTAAATTTCTCCCTCTGAGCCTCCCACCTTTCATACACCGTCTAATACCCCATGTGCCAAAACATGGCTGCTAAAAATGAACATTAAAACAGGACTGAAATCACATTCAGTGATTTAGAGACAGGGGAAACAATAGGAGGATGAGAGGAACAAAATGAGTCCCATGCGGCGGAAGATGGATCCCAGCCGTGACAGCGGTCGTCATGGTGCAGTCACAGGAACAGAGCTGCTGCTCTTCCCAGTGGGATAAATTGATACTGATTGTTCATCTGTGCTTTCACCTCAGACATGTATACGTAAGCACACAAATATAGAGACTTGACTCTGCATCCAGTGTCCCATGAGCTCCGAAGGTCTATCATGTCTCAAATCCCTAAAGAGCTTAAATAAGACTTTGAACAATGTCCACTTGATTTCTTGCACAGAAAGATGACTGTGGATTTCGCCTCCATTCAGAGTGTGTCAGAAAGGCATCTGTTTACAGCCGGTAGGAACAGGAGGAATAATTACAGCGAGAAAAACCTGCTTCATTGTACATATGGGCTCCTGGCTATTGTTTGACTTGACTTGAAAAATTTTAAACCTATCTTTAAAATTCATCATCTGTTCACACCATGCCAGTTTTAATCTTGCAAGAGCTCCAGAAAAAAAAATAAGCCCCTGTAGTTTCATCTAAATTACTGTAAGAAACCTCTTTCCACAGTTCCAGTAAAAGCAAAGCATGTCCACGGGTGTGTTGAGATACTGCTTTCTTGGCCAGGCTTCTCATGAGAACAAAAGACCTCACTGGAAGAAAGAAAGGAATTGTAACTTCTAGTTCAAGTAAATTTTGTTCTAAACATTGCAAAGTGGTGTTTTGAGAGCACAAAAGAGTAGTATTGCTAGGACCATAAAAATAAATGAATAAAAATAAATAAACAGCTTCTTCCTTCTCATTTTCAAGAGCCTCGTCCAGGTGTTTTAAAGTCAAATGTTTCCAGTGTTGGCCTTTTGTTGCAGGCCTTTTACTTTAGTAGAAAGCAAAAAGGTAAAAGCACAGGTGTTAATAATAAAGTTGTGATGGCTGAATTACATTTAGCTGTTTCAACTTTAGGCGCCTGGTATTGTACATGTAGGCTCACTGTCACAACTTACTGGGACACTTGAATACGACAGAGCCATCATTAATGTCAATAGTAACACCTTTTCCCCCCTGAAAGATAGCCTTATTTACTCCAGTTGTTTAAAACGTGACTAATATAGGATTACAGGCCTATGTTGCTGTGTGTTTATTTACTAATGCCAGATTTTTTTAATGTGAAAAACTATTCTGGCAAACTGTTGTTTTTCTGATTCCGTTTTTGAAAAATACAATGTATTGCAGTCCAGGAACTGGTGGTGTATCCCAATTTGCTCTTGACAAAAGCAAATCAATCAGACTAATTTAATAGCTGATTGATCCCGAATTCTGCAATCAGACCAGCAGTGGTGGAGGAATCATTACAACTGGCTCATTGCTGCCATCTGCTGCTCCAGCAATGCGAAACAACCATTGCCCATAAAGTTCAACACCAGAGAGTAAACCAGACAAGTCTTAATAATATAGGTATATATTTATTCATACGTACATATTCATTTATATCGGTTAATTGTAAAAAAAAAAAAAAAGAAAAAAGAAAAGAAAAGAATAAGAAAAAAGGAAAAGATTTACAGTAATTATATGAACTACAGTCATTGTCAAAATTGTTTTTGAAATTTCTCAGATGTCAATCTACCATGAACACACACTGTAGATTGACCTCTTGCCCTTTGTCCTAATCCTCAACTTTACTCCAGTGTTTGGGACCGAAACGTGCATGAAACAAACTGATCCAGAGCGTAGTAGCTCAACTTTTGTGTAAACTGGTGGAAGGTGTGACAGAAGAACACAGACAGAGGTGCTGTGAGGAAAAATAGTCTGTTTTGCTTGTAGTGTATTTTGTACCATGAAAAGACTGATGACAGGTTGTTTCTTTTGTACATATAAAACCATCAGGAGTGGGTTGAGTATTATTACCTGTAATCCATTCAAAGTGTTTGCCTTAAAAGCACATGTTGTTAGCTGCCCTGATGACTCAGCCCATGCCACATACAGCGCATGAAGAGGGCAAGCAGGTGTTACAAACAGGCTCATAGTCTAAATCCGACCACTTTTCCTTTTTTCTCCAGTTAACTGTCTTAACCCTGGAGCACAGTGACAGACTACATTAGATATCTCCACCATTTTGACTCTTAGTTGTTCCCTAATCCCCCATAAACCCCAAGTCAAACAAAACAGATAAAACTGGATTACACTGGATTCATCTCAGCTTGAATTATCCTGCCTGCCATAGCTGTCAAATCACAAACTGAACAGAATCATTGTTCAGTGTTTTGCCTGTTGGCGTGCATCTTAAACCAGATCGAGGACATTTGAGTGTGACCAACATTCTACACTGGGTTTACCAATTTCCGTCTTGTTTGATGTATTTGGGCAGGGTGCATTATGGGAGCGAGTATTTGGAAAAGCAAGGCATAAAATTTAAAGGAGAGGAAAGCACGCTTGTGGGAGAAAAATCCGATTCTGCTTAAGCAGCACACGAAACAGCCATCTTGAGGACTTCTCCTTGATGGAAACATTCAATAAGTAGAACCTACATCATACATACATGTCTTCATAAACTCCTCCTCAACTAACATTTAAAAAAAAAAATCCAACTCAAATTAGAACATTTTTTACAATTGCACTGGTGCCAACACTTCCCCTGGACATAGGCTACACTCTGGACATTTAGTAACAATAAACCCTTAATAAAAACACAAACACCATCAGATCAAAACTGAGGACTGGAAGAGGACTCAAACTCAACTTGGAGACACTGAACTCATGACTTCAAACACAAAGCAGGCGCAATCCAAACCACACCAAAACAGAAATGCAAAACAAGAGAAAAGGTAGAAATCCAGAGGAAATCAGAAAGAAAAGCAGTAAAAGACACATTTATAAAATGAAATGGGAAGAAAAAGAGACACAGAATAAAGCAGGTGCAAATGCAGGAGAAGATAATCCGTAAGACAAGGCTTCAATACTTCATAGGGCGGGGGGCTGAAGTCCATTATAGCCCTCCGTTGTGACAAAAATGTCCATCATATCTGTCAGCAGGCCAGAATTGTGCACTCAAGATTCAGCTGAATTCCAATTGCAGTGCCTCCACCGGTCTGATCTGCTTGTCCCAGACAGACGGAGGAGGTCACAGGTGGGCAAGGTGCAACACACTGTCACTCTGTCCCCTGCAAGGCCTCATAGGAGTTGAGGAGTCGCCGAGGTCCGGCACGTCCTCTCACCGCTGCGCGTGGTTCACCAGTTCCTTATCATTGGAACCGTCACCAATGCGAAAAACAAGAGCAACTAAATTAAATCAAACTAACTGAAAAATAGACGTACTTGATTGTTTTCAGTTGGCTTTTTCTTTCCATTGTCCTGGTCTGACAGCATGAATTCATGTAGTGATGTCAGACTTTTTTTTTTTCCTCTGTTAAATGAGTGTCTTTATAACTTCTGTAGCTGACATGAGCTTTCACAGGATCAGTTCTTCCGTCAAACTCCAGATTAAGTACCGGCTCATTTTGACAGTCCAAAGCTCCAGCACATATTCTAACACACACCTTAAACAACCATGTGTGAGCTTTGCAATAGTTCCCTCAGAAAGAGCCATCGGCAGCAGTCTCTGCCCCATCTCATATCACCTTCTGTTGTTTAGCTGGCTTCGACTCTCAGACTCCACAGTCCTCATATATTTACAATTAGACTTTAAAAAACTAGAGGTGTTACATGCAACATTTGGCATCTTTTCGAGTCCCCACTTGTGAGTCTTAATTGGTGTCCATTTTTAGAAAAATATCAAACTTTGTCTTTTTTTCTTCAGTATGTCGAATTGTCTGATTGTAACAGAGAGACAGAGAGAGGTGAGGGTACAGGTGTAGCAAGCGCGTGTGTGTGCATGTAAGTGAATATTCGTATTTGTGTTAGTAAAATGCCAGTCCTAAATTCTGATATGGCCGTCTTTGTAAAGTGTCTCATCATTGCTTTACTGTAAGTGCAAATAGCTGCAAGTTTGCTTTTTTTTCTCTTTTTAAATCACAAGATAGGCTTTTGGCTGCTTTCTCTGTGTAAGTTGGGGCTCTTGGCAGTTTACTGACTGCATCACTGCCCCTTTTTGAAATAAACAGCCTGCAGAACAAAGCTAACGCAGGTCTCAAGTGCAGTTCCCATCTAGAGGTAGCTGTTAAGTGACCTTCAATATGGATGTATGTGTGAGAGGTTAAGAGGGATTTTTATAGCTCCCCTGGAATTCAGATTTTTTTTCTTAATGTAAAGATCTTGTCATGTAATTTCTTAAACAATTCTTTTGTACTTCATTTGATGAAGACCACCTTAACAGTGGTTATCACATTTGATTTTTCCATAACCCTCTTTGTAATACTGGTTTTTCCACTGAACACAGAGCAGGAATGTTGTGACATTCTTCTAAGAGTTAATCTGTGTGTGTATGTAAGTGTGTCTGCATAGCAGCTTGTGTAAAAGTTATGTATGTACTGTATGTGTGTGGTGGAGAGATTCGGGAATGTTTTTTGGGAAAGTTACCCGAGACCCTGTAGCGTTATTTGGCTCTCTCCCTCTCTCTGCAGCTCAAAGGGCGGGGTGGGGGGGGCCACACCAGCAAGTACTCTGTGACAGGGGTATGGGGACAGCAGGTCAAGGGTCAGGTGATGGGCTGCGGGGAGCGTGTACGAGGGACACGGGAGAGGAAAGAGGGGGTTGTTGTCTTTACATCATAGGAGGACACAGCAGCGGCAAAACCTCTGACGGCTTCCCCCAACGGAGGGGGGTGGAGTGACGGGAGCGAAATATGCATGCACTTTGATGTTAGGCAGATGGGTCTGTGGAGAGAAAAGCAGGAAAAATTGAATTATATTAATGGATCATACAAACATTTGGAAAGCTGCATTAGGAAGATTAAGACGTCCGTGCCTGTAATTTGCTGGGACACATAAGTAACTGAAAATGTTTTACTTCAATACTCTGAAGTCATGTCACACTATATATATTTATATCAATAAATATAAGTTATTAACAACAAACTTCAACCCCGACAGGCTGTGACTGAGATCTAATGTTGTGTTCTCTCTGTTCACTCAATGCTGTCGAGCAGACAGTTTGTATTTCACACCTTAGTTTTGATTCATCACTTCTTGTGGGTGGAGCGGTGACTCCAACACATACAGTTTAATTTGGACAAAATGTATGAATCTATGACATCTATCTAGAACATTCTTTCCTGCTGATTGCTTAATCGGGCTAATAGGACAGGTCTATGTTTTCGTTAAAAAAAAGATAAAGTTGTTTAGCTAGCTTTAAGCTGGCAACTAACCATGCCCAACCATACGTGGCTATGTAGTGGTCACATCCACCTCTGTCATGATGCTTATTGTGGCCCACTTAAACTCCTTCTTCCTCACTTGGAAACCGTTAGGCTGCTCAGCAGGCTTATTCTCATAGCTATTACTGGTGGCCAAAAGCAACATTGCAAAAGTCCATGCTGGTAGGATTCAACTAAAATCGCTGGGACTCCTGACATCACATATACTCCTCTTAACAGGTTGCTAACAAGTTCACCTTGCCTGTGTTGAGTTTGTATTTCAACAATCTTGCATTAAAGAACTAAAAGTGAATGTATATTGCCACGTGCAATATAAAACAGGGACCTACTGCAGTCAAACCTGAGGACAAAAACTCCATAGGAGACATTTAATAAGGATCAAATTGGAATTGGTGGGTTCCTTTAGTTAGTACATCAAGATTGTGATGTGTAGTATGGCAGACTTGATCAGTAGTGTTTCTCACAGTGAGCCTTTACCGAGGTGCGGCGGCTGCATACCAGATGTGACTTCATGAGTCTTTACTTCTACTAATCATCTATAAATCGTGAGGAGCTTTTTTTTGGAAATTATCTACTGTACTATAATGAATTCCATTCCACAACCCAAAACTGGCCTTGGATGACTGAGCCCAAGCACACAGCCAGTGGGCAGTGCGAAGGATGGAGAGCATATACGTTTTTAATGCTGACGACAGTCAGTCAGCATAAAGGCAAATAAAAGTGTACATTTGTGATAGTGATTCATGAACACAATTTGCAAAATGGCATATGTTGAGTTCACAAAATGCGTGTTTACAGTACATTCTACATATGAATCAGTGCTTACTCACAGCTGTTAGCCCACACAACTCACCCTTAGTCTCTTGATGCCAGCGCGGGTGATCTGCTGGCAGTCATAGAGCTCAATGCGATCCAGACTATGGCAGCTCTTCAGGTGCTCCAATGAGGCATCTGTGATCAGGGGGCAGTTGTCCAGCTCGATCACCTCCAGGCGGTCGTGAGCACAGGGGCCACTGCCGAGGTGTCTGATGCCATCATCAGTGATGAGCTCACAGTGAGACAGGCTCTACAGGAACACAGTAGTATCAACACAGGAGCTCCATTACTCAACTGTCTGCTAGAACAAGCTGTGATTTGGTGCTTGTAAATGCTGCAGGAGCAATATATGTGTAAGTGACAGGTGCACACTCACCAGGACTTGCAATCGAGGGCAGTGGATAGACAGCTGGATGAGTGTTCCATCTGTGATCTGATGTAAAAATAAAAAGAAGCAGATGTCATAAATGCAGTCTCCATACAACAACAGTGTAAAAATTATTTGTGCAGCCCAGTTTATTTACCTGCACACATTCTTCTAAATCCATCTTCTCAAGCTCATGACAATTCTGCAGCAAAGAAAGAGTCAAACACAGAGAAACTATATGATCCAATTTGGGTTTGTGGAGATTTTCATTCATGCAACAAAAATATGGAAATATTTTTTTTAAGATGTTTTGGGACCAAAAAGGAAAGTGATTTCCGCTTCAAACTATTTAATCTGTAAACAAAGACTCTTGTGTTTGCATGCAACCAAGAGGCAAACGCACACTCACCCTTGCTAATGTAGTGAAGCCCATGTCTGTAAGCTGAGAGCAACGAGCCACTTCTAATATTCTGAAAGGAGAAAAAGAGGGGCAGAGAGTTATACCATGACATCACTTGCAGTCTATCACTGTTTCGGACATGAACTAGACCTAAAGTAGTGAGGCTTGAGATAACTTTAGTGTAGAAAGGCCCCTTTATTCATTCTTTTTTAAGTCAATGTTCACTGCAGGATTATATCAACTTGCAAGCCATTTAATCTAAAAATCTGTCTTAAAAATCTTATTTGGCAAGAAACCAAAAAGTGAGAGAATAACACTTGTTTCCAATTAAGTCTAAGTTTCACCCATTTCAGCAAAGTCTCTTAAAAGCAAGGTACAACATCAGTCTACCCAGATCAAGACTGTCAATCAACCAGAGAACCTTCTTGAAATCAAGTTAAATACATTGCACTCAATGGAAATCGCTTTACATGATAAGGTGTATAATGAGTCACAGTGGGCAAGAGTGAGTAAAACAGTAAGGGCTTAAGATTCATTTTCGAAATAAATGGAACAATCTTTTGCAGGGTCTAGGAAGCGGGGCACAGATCAGAGTGAGGATGTGTGTGTAGGTGTGTAAATTCACCTGAGGCGAGGGCAGTTCTGTCCCAGGGCGTGCAGGATGGCATCTGTGATATTGGCACAGCCCGACACACACAGTGACTGCAGGCGATGGCAACCCCGGCAAATTGTGATGAGGCCCTCATCTGTGATCTGCTGCTCACAGAAAAGAGAATGTGTGCGTTTGTGTGTGTGGGCTCACTTAAATCCACATCCACTGTGAGATGCCAACTTTTCTGGTTCTCACTTGTAGCTATCAAAAGCAATCAATGTATGACTTAACATATATTCATGTACAACACTTAGCTAATGAGATTTCTTTTCCCTGCAGTTTTTGTTTTAAGTATTGTTCAAGAAAACTCTGTGGAGACAAGGTGGAGAAAGAACAGGTGAGAAAGAGGAGGAACTGGGACAAGATGAGATGATGAGTTCCTGAGGTGTGAGATGAGAAGGAGATGTTGAGAGGGAGAAGGTGCATGAGAGAAGCATTCAGGTGGAGATGAAGAAGGGGAATTTTGCAGACACGTACAGCCAGAGAAAAATATATGCATTGTGTGAGCAGGCTTCACAGGCTATTTGCTATTTTGGCTGGACGTCCAGAATGGGCTTTGAGTTGAAGAGCACAACATGTACTCGTGCCCATCAGCCTATATACCCTGGAAAGTAAACAACAGTGTTCATGTACTTTTATACCAAAAGTCCATATTCAAGTAATTTGGTTTATCTACCAGCTTTGTTAACTGTACTTACTGAGCATGTCTGCAAGTTGAGTGTGACCAACTCTGGACAGTGAGCCCCGATATGCTTCAGAGCTTCGTCCTCTAGCTGTGGAAAAGGAAAGACAACAGTCATGTGGAATCAAACTACACTGATCAAATTTATTAGAGATCATCCCACCAACTCCCTCTATTGTCACTGATATAAATGGTTATAAAACACCTCTTGGTATAACGCAATAGAACAGCACCACAAACTGCAGCCTCTAAAAACGACCATAAAGTTATATCAACAGCTCTAGCAACTGAGTGTTTATGTTGTGATTTGTTTTGTTCTTTAAATTAACAATCTGTGACATCTTGATAGAAATACATGCTTGTCTTTTCGCACTGTACTGTTGACTGTTGATATAACAGGATGGTGTTATAAGTAGGCTTTTACATTTGCTGTAAACAGCACCTGGCATGTCTTATGTTGCAAAGAGAGTGACAAATTTAATGTTTGCAGAAGCAGCAACTGTGTTCTATTTGGGATAAAAATAAGAGAAACTAGGTAGCTAGCATGATAAGTGGTGGCCACAATGACGAAACATACAACACAACTGTGCCACCTGCACAAGAGCAGTGTTAAGCAACAAGAACAGTGCAGTCACCAATGGGACCAAACAATAAGTTCCACAAATCAATTTGCTTTCTGGTTTATCCAGTTCAATATTAAACTGAATTAAATTGTCTCCAGCTAACACTAAGCTCTTAACCATACCTGTGTGCATCCTTTAAGGAAAAGGCCTTTGAGTCCAGGGCAGGAACGCACCAGGGCCTGGATGCCATCCTTGGTGACTTGATCACACCAGGAGATGTTCAGCTGCTCCAGCAGGGGACAACCCTCACTGACAGGAAATTAGAAAGGGACAGGTGAAAGGTGGAAAAAAGCAAGAAAAAGGAAGGAGGAAAAAGGAAAAGACAACATTGAAAGGATCTATTGTGATGACATGTAAGCCGCATGTCGTCATTCCACCCTGCTGTCGAGGTGGTGTCCAGCAAACGATGTGGGCTTCAATATTTACTGGAAGGCTATCTCAAGTTTATTTCTAAACGACATCAGAGTTGGGACGGAAGCAGAGCTGCTGTCTTACACACTTCTGCTCTTTCTTTAGAACAGCACCACCCAAAACCCCAAAACGTGTCGTCCCCGACCACCTAAACTATTTAAAAAATAAAAAAAGAGGAGTTCAACATAAAAATCTAATAAAATTAAACCAACTCTAGTACACAAAATAAGAGAATGATGTGGCTTAAATATAGGTCTCGTCCCTAAACTGTTTAGTGAATGAATAAATAGATGATATGATTACTTGTCTACGAGACCGGTTGTCCCACAGGAGTATGTTAGCCTAAATGAATCCACCCCCAGTCATATTAATACACATCCAGCACAGGCCGAGGAGGTGGAGTACAGCTATATATGATGAGCGTTTAATGGACCAAACCTAAACTAAATTATAATTCATTGAAAGCCTGTTCTAGCCTTTCACCCAAACGGACACGCAGCCAGTTCTTTTATATGTCCGCTCCGGACCGTACACTTATATCGAATTTTCAGAGTTTCTATCAAGCTTAGTCCTTAAATCAGATAAAGTAATTATGTAGGTGATTTTAATATCATGTGGATGTTGACAATGAAGCCTAGTAATGCATTTATATCATTAATAACTCAATCTGTCAGAGTGTAAATAAACCAACTCATTGTTTAATCACACTCACCTGTTTTATCATATGGCATTGATATTGAACATTTAATAGTCTTCCCACATATCCTTCCATCGACCATTATTAGTAACTTTGAATTCAACTATTAGATTATAAGCCATTAGGCAAAACTCCACAGCAGATGTCTATCGACAGTGCGTAGCTAAATTTAAGGAGGAGTTCCTTCAGTGTTTAATTCAATGCCATGTCGAATTTAACAGAGTCCTATACAACTTAGTCCGAAATGATAATCTCGAATCACAGGCTCACAGATCAACATAGACTCTATCGCTCCTATAAAAGGAATTATTAAAACATAGGAGACTACACCGTATAACCACCAAACCCCAGTTAAACAAATAGCTAGGAAATCAAAGGAGGCGCTCCCAAATTAAGAATATCGCCAAATTGCAAGATGATCTAAGATTTATAGAAAGGCCCTCGTAATGCCAAGGAGCCTATTACAGCACTAATAGAAAAAATAAGAACAACACTAGGTTCCTCTTAGCGTAGCCAGGCGACAGTCAAGCCTATCGAGCCACATATCCCCATAAACTTAAGTAGCAATGACTTCATAGCTTCTTCTATAATAAAATTATTACAGAAAAAATTAATCACCAACGCCATCAACGGTTATCAGTGGCTCTCAAGTTCAGGGACTTGTCAATGAAACTAGATGTATATTTAGACTGTTTTTCGCTATCGATCTTCATCAGTTAACTCAATCATTTCTTCAGAAGCCATCAACCGTCTGTTAGACCCGATCCCAACTAGGCTGCTTAAAGAGTTGTTCCCTTAATTGGCACTTACGATATGATTAATCTTTCTTTATTATCAGGATATGTACCACAGTCCTTAAAGTAGCTGTAATTAAACCCCTTCTAAAAGTCTACTCACCCAGGGGTTTTAGCCAACTATAGACCGATTTCAACCTCCCGTTCCCTCTAAGATTCTGGAGAAAGTAGTCGCCAAAGAGTTGTGTGACTTTCACATAACAATAGTTTATTTGAGGATTTTCAGTCAGGATTTAGAGTTCATCATAGCAAGAGACAGCTCGGTTAAAGTTAATAATGACCTTCGATGCTTCGAATGGACTTGTCTGTACTTGTATTATTAGATCTAGTGCGCATTTGACACCATACCATGATATTCTTTACAGAGACTAGCATCAAATGGCATTAAAGGACGCCCTAACCTGTTTAAGTCATACTTATCAGATCGTTCCAGTTTGTACATGTTAACGATGAATCCTCCATAAATACTAAAGTTAGTCATGGAGTTCCACAAGGTTCGTACGGACCAATACTATTTACTTTATAATGCTCCCTAGGCAACATTATTGGAATCACCCATTAACTTCACGTTATGCAGATGATACGCAGTTATATCTATCAATCAAACCCAATGAAATTAATCAATTATCTAAATTACAAACATGTCTTAAGGACATAAAATCCGATGACCGCAATTTTCATGTTAAACTCAGAAAACCGAAATTCTTGTTCTGGCCCCAAAACCTAGAGACTCATTGTCTAAAGATATAGTCACAGATGGCATTAACGGCCTCTACACCACTGTCAGGAATCTGAGTTATCTTGATCAGGATTTGTCATTTAACCCCACATAAAGCAGACCTCAGACTGCCTTCTTCATTACGTAATATTAGAAAAATTAGACACATCCTATCACAGACAGATGCAGAAAAACTAATCCATGCATTTGTTACTCAAGGCTGGATTACTGCAACTCTTTATTATCAGGTTGCCCCAATAAGTCCATTAAAACGCTCCAATTAATTCAGAACGCTGCAGCACAGTACTGACAGGAACTAAAAAAAGATCACATCCCCGTACTAGCTACTCGCATTGGCTCCCTATAAAATGTAGAATTGAATTTAAAATACCCTCCTCACCTATAAAGCTCTTCATGGTCAGGCCCCTTCATATCTTAAAGAGCTCAAGTACCCTATTACCCCACTAGAACACTACGTTCTCTGAATGCGGGCTACTTGTGGTTCCTATAGTCTCTAAAAGTAGAACAGGAGCCAGAGCCTTCAGTTACCAAGCTCCTCCTGTGGAACCAGCTTCCAGTTTGGTTCGGGAGGCAGACACCCTCACCACATTCAAGAGTAGGCTTAAGACATTCCTCTTGATAAAGCTTATAGTTAGGCTGGATCAGGTGAGTCCGAACCATCCCTTAGTTATGCTGCTATAGGCCAGACTATCGGGGGATTTCCCATGGTGCACTGAGCTACCTCTCCTCTCTCTTCGCACTCATTCATGTCCCTTTAATGCATGTTACTAACTCCACTTCTTCCCGGAGTTCTGTGCTTTCGTCTGCAGGTTCTCATGGATCCGGTGGAGCCTCCGCCAGGTTCTGTCTGTCTGTCTGTCTGTCTGTCTGTCTGTCTGTCTGTCTGTCTGTCTGTCTGTCTGTCTGTCTGTCTCTCTGTGTCTCTCTCTCTCTCGTGTCTCTCGTGTCTCTGTGTCTCTCTCTCTCTCGTGTCTCTCTCTCTCTGTGTCTCTCTCTCTCTCGTGTCTCTCTCTCTCTCGTGTCTCTCTCTCTCTCTCTCTCTCTCTCTCTCTCTCTCTCTCTCTCCTCTCCCAACTGGTCTAGACAGACACCACCCACCTAGAGCCGGAGGATCGTCCAGGTTTCTGCCTTTAACAGGCAGTTCCTTGCCCTGTCGCCAAGTGCTTGCCATGGTGGTACTGTTGGGTCTCTGTAATAATGTTAAAGAGTTCGGTCTAGACCTGCTCTATTGAAAAGTGTCCGAGATAACTCGTTATGAATTGGCGCTATACAAATAAAATGAATTGAATAATAAATTGTACAATCAACATATACTGTATTATGAAATGGTTAATGGAGGAAATCAATGAGGGATAACCACTGGAATTTGAGGGTATTGAATAAGAGTTCATAATACGTTACGTTTTGTTAAGGTATGTTAATTCAATGGAAGTATACATCACAACATTGAGCCTACACACCTGAGAGCTTTGAGTGACAGGTTGGTGATTGAGGTACAGGAGGCGAGGTCCAGGTGCTTCAGCTTTGGACAGAACTTACTGAGACTATTACACGTGCTGCAGAAGAGAAAGACAATTAGCGCTTTGGAGGAGAAGTGACATTCTGATACATTGGTATCCCAGGACAATTCACACACCTGTCAGTGATCTTGGTGCAGCCATTCAGACTAAGTAGCTCAATGTTTCTGCAGTTCTGCGAGAAAGTCCTGCAAAAATAAACATTTATATGATGGTGATAGTAAACTTCTTGTATGCCCCTCCCCATGGGCTGAACTACAGCTAGAATGTCTGTTGGCAAACTCACCTGAGGGCACTATCACCCACACCCAGGCAACCCCGCAGACTCAGCTTCCTAAGGAACCCTCCACATCGCTTTGAGATGTTCTCCACCACCCGGCCCTGCAACAAAAACAATCTACTCAGCTCACTGTATTTGCTTCTCTTCTTTTCTTCTCATTACCTCGGTAATGACAGAAGAATAAAGTGTGGAGAGAAACAGCACAGTGCACAGCAAATATGAAGTTAAAGGCAATGGAAAAGTAGATGGAAATCAGATTGACTCACCTCAATGTCCCTCTGAAAGTCAAAGAGGTCGATTCGTTGCCAGTTGCTGCCGTCCAGAGCCAGAACATTCCAGGACTGAGAGCAGTGAGGGAGAAAGAGATGTTTAGGGTCAATATTTTTCTCAAACATACAACATACACACACAGAACGCACACTAAAAACACACAGACAAACACGCAGTCACACAACCATGCATACACACACCTTGTGAACACAAACTCACCCGAGAGACCTGGGCACAGCGACAGAGTGTCACCACATCCAGAAAGGAGAAGATTCTGGAAGACAGACAGGGACGGTTTAGAGACCCTGACCCCCGCTGCCAGAAGCTTCCTCTTTACACTAGACTCTTCCCTCAACGCAGCCCTGTGTCTGCTTCCACTCACAGCACAGGGGTGCGAGTAAATCAGCTAATATTGTCTTTGACTGTCAGCAAGATATATGTGTTTACCCTGTTTGCAGGATAGATGTGTTTACTCAAAGTGGGGTCCTGGCGAGGAAGACACGCAATCTGCTTCTAAGGAACAGAGCTGGAGACTTACTATAAGATTCCTCAATGCAGCAAAAACTGTATTAGGGTTGAAGCAGGGATGCAGTGACTCCCAGCACAGCCTGCCAGCCTCACAAATCAGGGCATTGAACCTGGCCAAGTCGCACAGAATCAGCAGCCGCAGCACAGGCAGCTTGGCTGGCAAGGCCGAGGCTTGAGTTATGGCCTTCATTTTCTGTTTGCTCAGGGGCTGTTGAGTTTTTTTTTTTTTCTGCTTGAAATCAATTTGAATGCTTTATAGCCTCAAGCATCTGTTTTAAATTACAGTTTTAGCATTGGGGGAGCAGAGTAGGGTGGGGAACGAGGGGAAATTGGCATCTTGGTGGTTAGTTTAGTTGAAATATTTGCTAAAGGGCAAGTGAGCATACAGTATATGATCGTAAGATGCACAATGTGTGTGTCTGTGTTTGACGGCTGTAGCGGGAGGAGGTAGGTGCAAGGCCAATTGTGCCTTTGTGTATGATTGGATGTGCTGATCGGGAGCAAAGGCAGGGAGGTTAAATGTGGAGTATGAAACATGCCACTGTCGCTTGCAAAACAACCAGCAGATAGTCTGACTGAAGTGTTTGGAAATGTCACTCACCGTAGCAACAGCTCCTTAGGCAGCTTTTTATTGATGACTGCCTCATCACTGTTTGTGAACATCTGAAAAGGTGCAGAGGATAATGTTAGTCGTGGCATCCTTTTTAACATAGCTGGGCCCCCCTTCATCCACCCGCCTCACTCAAGGACAGCACCAGCAAATAGAAAGCAAGGAAAAATTATCGTAATCTCATCAGCTGAGATAGAGTCAATGTCAAGTCTTGGAAAACACAAAAGGTGACAGAAGATAAAACAGAACAAGAGACAGTTTTGTGTCTTTGGAGCAAAATCATTAGGACAGAACTTTGTACTGTCGACTACAGAACTGTGAGGCTTCAGCTTTCATGTTATCTTTTCTGCCTGCATATTCTTCCCTTACTTTCTGTGTTGTTTACACTGTACATTAGCATGTACTGAGAATGTACACTGGAGTTTGTTACAATATATCTTTTGTGACTCTCCGGTGAACTGCTCCAGCTTCTGCAAACAGCTAATGGATTTCCACAGAAATAATTGCATGCTGTGTGAGTGCAAATACTAGCCTATAAGCCACAGAAAAAGCCTCAGTACACAAAGAAACAATAAATGAGCATTTATTAAGACCCAGCTACTTTAGACACGCACACAAACCCACTTATTGAGGACTCCAGGGTTCCCATAATTTGGGGTAAATCATACTTTGATAGATTGTAAAATACAAGATGTTCAGATAATGCCGTTTGGAAGTGTCCCCTAGGCACAACAAGTCAAATGACGCAACATCTGGCCCCATACATTTTCCTCCATAGATTTGGAAAGATAAATCTAAACCGGGGACAGGGTAATTGAGGGGTGGGGGCTTTAGTATGTAAATAAAAGTGCAGGAAGGCACATGTTATTTACAAGAGATCAACAAGGAATTTGCAACTACTTATTTGCACTTCCTTACAGGTACAAATATGAAGTAAAAATTAAATGTTTTTGCATTTAAACAAAAGCAGTGTGGTATTTGACTATGGGTGTCCATCCTAAAACCACATTCACAATAGCTTTTTAGCTCAATAGATTTTGAGGGACTTACACACTTAAGCAAACCTATTCATCAGCTCCCAAAAACAAAATGACAGGTCTGCCCATTTAAAAATCCAGTCAGCTCTGGGTCAAAGCCTCTCTATGTCTCTCTCATAAACATACAAACTCCACACACACACACACACACACACACACACACACACACACACACACACACACACACACACACACACACACACACACACACACACACACACACACACACAGCTGTCTATGCAGGGGCTGCCTGCCAGCACAGACGTGTAAAATTTTGAGGGAGTAAGAAGGGACAGACATTTCGCGTTTGGATTTGGGGCAAATTGACTCTGACAGCTCGCCTTCCCAGCGTTACTTTCTGGCCAAATAATCCAGGGCCATTTCCAAAGAACCAGATGCGCATGGTCAACGGGCATACACTGTCCCCTTTTGTACTCTAACATAAAATGAACCTGATGCTGCATGAATGTGAGCATTATGTTTTCTCCACTGGTCAGCTATAGTTAGTGAAGCAGGCCTGGCAGGAGGTAAAAGGCTGGATGAGCTGTAACCTCCAGCTACAGATCGTTGTAAAGCAAAACAAAAAGTGATAATATTTTTAGAAAAACTTTTCCTGTGTTGTTTCCTGAAAAGACCCTATCCTCAGATGAAATTTATATCAGTTTGACACTTGTAATGAGTCAGCATTAAACTCAGTGGTTAAATTGGTTTAGATATTTAGTTTATCCTTCCCTCCATCCATAGATTTAGTTATCAACAACTGATTTTAACATTGTTTTCTTGCTTTCAGTTTAAACTGCTTCAACAATTCTTACATCAATACACCCTGTTATACCCAATGTACTGGTAATGTCAGTCACAATATGGTTATAATTAATAGGGAAATAGAATTAGGGGTCATTAATGCCTGTCTACTTTCCAGACTGCTGTAGTCTTTTGTTAGGGGCTGCTATAGAACAGATCAGTATCTGCTGCAGAACAGTAAAGTCAGACAGAATATAAGAGAACATGTCTGGAAATGGCTGTCAAAGTAAAACTCTCACTGGCAGACAATGTAGTAATTGGGTTTGACCACTGTGCATTTTTGATGACCTACAGTAACTATTTTATCTTTGGTCTCAGGCTTTGAACAATTAGCCATCTGGGCTAACTCTGTGCTCAATTCTTTAATGGATTTAAGGGTGTTAACAATAGAAGTAAGCCGGCTGTATGATGTTCTTATTCTATATATGTTATTCTATTATAACACCTACAGTGCATAGGTAGATTGTATTTATTTACATCAATGAAAATCAACCAAACAATAATTGGTATTAAACATATTGTATGGACTTAAATGTTTTTATGTCTTAAAAGAAACTGTGTTGTGATGAGCACGCCTTTGCAAAAAGAAATACAATTTACACCCACTTTCACATTAAACCAAAACAAGACATCATGAAAGGGTGTCTGGTAATTATTCCGGTTTAAACTTGGTAATAGGGCAGGTATTCCCTCACGAGAAGTCACAGTAACAAACAAAAAAAAAGAAAGCTAAATAGATTCCCTTTTACTTTGAAGGCAATGGCGCACCACGTCCGGTGTTCTCCCTTTACCAAATCTGGTGAACTTGTCAAGCAGCTCTACCGCAGCTGTCGGGCCAGAAGGTAACGCGGCCTGAATCTTCCGAGTCGTCAGCTGTTGCACCGTTAAAAATAAATAAAAACCACACACAAATCCCACGCTAGCCGGGGATTAAACAACACCCAGTGCTCGAGCTACACAGCCCAATGTCACCGGCCGGATACACAACATTAGAGAACAGGTTCCTCCAAAATATCCTGCTGCGCTCACTTACGCCTGCGACACAAAGTTTATGGTAAACGCTGCATTTTTAAACAACACTGTATCTTGTGTACGTACATGTGGTTCCCCCCCTTCCTGCAACCAGTATAAGCGACGGTGTGTGTGTGTGTGTGTGTTGCATTGTGGCAGCTTGGGCCTATTTGTTGATAGTGCTGTGCTAACACAGGGGGGTGCATGTAGCAGTCACAACCCGAGGCCCCCACAACCGCAGCGGCCACGGACGTGCACAACAGACGACCCAACAAAAGTCTCATAATAAAAACATCACACCTCCCCCTCCTCTCCAGCAGATATGAGGGCAATTATTAAACCAGCTATAGCTTGTTTGTAAAGTGACAACAAATCCCCCCCTTTTTTTTCCCTGGTAAATACGCCAATATGTGCCGGAGCTGTCCTCGGCATGCTCCATGTAGCCTCTTTGTTTTGACGGCAGCAAAAAGGGAAACGAGGACAACATTTTAGGACCTTTAAAAAAATAAAAATAAAAAAACACCACACACACAACTCAATTTATTGATTAACAACACGACAGACTTTGTGGAAAATACAGACTCGTGTCCTCAAAAGAAAAAACAACCAAAGAGCCAGGCCTCGGCTCTATGTGTGCCGTTTGACCTAATCCCAAACACTGACTGCGGAAGCTGCATCAACAAGCCTCACCATGAGCGCAGTTTTACAACAAACACAGCGACAGTCATCACGCAGGCCCGTATCCTAACAGTCCCAACAGCCACACATCAATGCGTGGCAATAACTGTCAGGTAACATTGACTGTGAACTCACCTCAAACCGGCTCCGTGAAACACCATTTACCTCCTTCCCCATGTCGGACGCTGGTTACCGACTCAATGAATTCGGTGTAGGCGAAGTAAAATGCAGATACGGGCCCTCTTCCTGCCGATTCCCCTCCACGACTATCATGCTACCGTCCTCTCGGTAGCTCCTAGGGGTGCGATGTCGTTGTTTTTCGCCCTGTAACACAAACGGGAAGACCTCTTGTTTCGGATAAAATATGAGCTACAGGCAGCAGCCCAGTCAATAAGCCACTTCTCTTATCTGCTCGGTTCGCCCTCACCTCCTCCTCCTCCTCCTCCTCCTCCTCCCCCTATAGGCTACAGCTTTCCATCCATCCACACAATAGCCCGACAGGAATAGGACCTGGCAGCTTAAAATGGAGCTGGTACTACGCCTACATCGCTTAGAAATAATAAATATAATGAAATTGCGCTTATGTATTGCCCCAAAAAACTCAAAACCGGATAACTTTATTTATTTAGCCTACTTGTTGTCTGGTCCTTAAACCAAATCTGTTAATGCAGGGACAGGACAGGTTCAGGGGTAAAGATAAATACTAAACTGGGCTGTCAAACGAATACCTGGTTTAAAGCAAACTGGACTCATGGCTAGATATAAGAATTATATTTAAAGAATTATTTAAAAGAAAAGTTTGATCCCACGTGATGGTATCTTTTGACACACACCAAAACCAAATAGAAACCAGTCAGGATATATGACAGTATAACCCCCCCCCCCTCCCCTCATGTAGCCTATCTTAAGTTAATATCTTAATATGAGTTATTTCTACTGTGAGTGTAAGACAAAGCCTTCACATGTTTTTATCACATTCGTGTCCTACAGCGACCACAGACACTAGGAGTTTGCCCTCTTATGACACAATAACAATTTAAATGCGCATTAACTTCATTATTTATTATTTATTTATTGTTCTCAAACATACACTGTAACTTTGTTTGTACTGTGGGGGAAACGCCACTTCCTCGTTTCTCGTTGGCCACGCCCCCCACGCAGGCAGCGGATCCAATCAGCATCCAAGGACGGCTGCTCGTCATACTGCGTATGGGAGCGCACGTCGTCTGGAGGGCCATAATAAACTGTAAATGTCCACAATTTAATGTTTTCTAATGTGTTCCCCCCATGTTTCTGCTCCCACCTTTAAAAACAATGTGAGGTAGACGCTTTTTAAAAGGTTAAACCACCACTGTCATTGTATAAATGTAACTATTCTGCTTAAGTAAAAGTTTAATTAGAATAACAATGTGTGATATTGGTTCAAGATTAGTTAAGTTTCATCAAATATTAGATTGTATTTTCATGTATTCATGCGGTCCAGCTGACACAACAGATCCATCGAACTGTTTATTTAAATCCTGTCACCCATTTTAACAATTTACATATTTAATTCCCACTGGCCAGCAGTTAGTTAGCCCAGTCAGAGTATACGGTGAGAAGCCATACTTTGCTTTTGTCGTCGTAATATAAGGCCTCCAGTACCAGAAGAACAGGTGTGGGAACCCTAATTATATACCGTCAGTGGAGGGAACTCAAGTTACTATTGTTTTAACCTCGATACTCGGCTCACTTTATGACGTAAAGACTTCACTACGACTCCTGTTAAAGAGGAAGTGGGCTTCAGAGAAATCTAGAGAGTGCGGCGGAGACTGGATAAAAGTAGCCCTCCTGTCTTGTGTTTGTGTGCGTTAATATTCTGATCAAAGAGCGGAGCTTTTGGATCACCTTTTTCTTAATTTAATAGTCTAGCGTTTGCTATACTGATGCAAGATTTGAGACCAATTTAATTATGTTTTTTAATCACATAAATATGCATTCCTTTGTGGAATATCAAAGAGTAGCCTCCATACTTGGTTGGATTAACCTGCTATAAAAGTACAATGAGTAAGGAAGGTCTTAGAAATAGATTTTAACAAAGGGGGGATGGGAGGAGGGGGCTTTTAAAGACTCATTAGATAGTACAGCAGAACCTACAGTAAAGGCCATAATAATGTCAGTTTATATTGTGCTTTTAGTGGGGAATACTCCTAAAACACATTTTAAATCAAATTATCAAGATGACACAAAGAAATATTGGGGCTTTCAGGGCCCTGGGGCAGCTGCCCACTTTGCCTGTTAGTAATCCAGCTTTGCCTCCATCGCCTCCTGCATGGTTTAAAATCCCCCAATAACTCACCTCACTCCTGATACTCCCATTTCCCGAGCGCCCAGTGCGGTGTATTGTTTATTCATCCTGTAATACCTGACTGGTTAAAACATTTGTTTTTGTTTTTTGCCCTGATGCAGCTCCCTGAACATTTCCCGTCGCTGGCGCGCTACCACGAGTACAGTGGGCGGGCTTCTCTGTCGTGATTGGCCGTTGCTAGGATACGCGTGAGATTGACAGCGTCGCGGTTTCCGGTTCACTCCGCTGTGCGCAGAAGTCGCTAGTCACAGGAGCCACAATGGCGTTTGTAGTCTCCTTCAGATAGGGCTGTGGATGATATTAAATCCACTAGCATCGCCCTAAATATAGGCCTGGTTGATTCCCAGAGCCATTGATAATAAACTGGAACATCTACTGCACACGAAAATACTATGATTTCTATTCAATATTGAATTTATAGGGGATAAAACTTACATTAAAAGGGAACATGTAAAACAGTACCAACCGGGTCAAGTTTTCATTTTGTTCGAGAAACGAGCGTCTTTTAATGAAGGCGTTTGCTTGTTTCTGAATGCTAAGACCGTAATTCTGTGGAATAAAAACACCTTTACTTTAACTTGGCACCGGACAAGGACACCTTTCACTAAAGGGACTTTTTTTTTTCTCCTTTTTTTTTTTTTTTTTTTTTAACGAGTCAGCTCGCTAGCCGCCGAGCATTAGCTAGCGGTGCTTAGCTAAAATTGAGACGGAGACGACACCACAATGCTCCGATGTTTGTTTGGGATTTTCTTCATTCACTGACAAAATTCAAAGTACAACACTTTACAGCACTGGACAACCGAGCAGTTGACGAATTGACGGAACAATGCCGGAGATCTCAATGGAATGAATTGGCGTTGAGGAGGACTGGACGTGAGCGGCCTGGTCTGTTTATTTTGTGTATTTTTTCTTGCCTTGTTTTCTGCTTAGTAACATTTTTTCGTTTTTTTTTTTTTGGCATTTGGAGTAGCTACTGTTTTCCTGTGAATGAATTGCCTGGACCACCGAGGCCCAGTCGCAGGAGAGGCACCGACGCCGGCGTGAGGGATGCCTGGGTCGGACCGACACCATGGGACCAAGAGGAAGCCGGAATCGAGCACCAGCGCTGTGCCACACCAGACCCAGGCCCCGAGTCATACCTCTGCGGGAGACAAGGCGAGCAAAGACGGCAAGGTGCAGTTAAAATCTTCAATGTCCTCTTCCTCTTCTAAACGCAAACGGCATAAATCAACCAAACATATTCGGGAATCCTCGGCGGCACCGGGACCCGAATATTTTACCCTCGGTGATACGGCGCCACCTGGTGTCAACGCGGTGAAGCCTCTGGTGGAGTACGATGATATCAGCTCCGACTCGGACACTTTCTCGGACCCACCGTCCTCCAGGCCTTCTGAGAGGGGGGGCGGGGACCGGCTGGAGCCTTCACCAGACTACGATAGGGACGATATCGACGGAGAAGCAGCCGGTAGAGAGAACAGGGGGCACAGACACTCCCGGAAAAAGTCCAAGGACCCTAACAAAGTTAGAGACTCTGGGAATGGGGAACGTGGGTACAAGAAAAAGAGCAGCAAAGACCGCGAGAAAGGCAGTTCTGGAAAGAGCAAGGAGAAGGCTGCCTCATCAGGCCCATCATCCAAACGCCAGGTCCAGCCAGAGGGTGAGTCTAAACGCGGGGAGCTGATGCTTTCCTCCCAGGTACAGCCTGCAGCCAGTGTAGGTAGCACTACGTCCTCCACATCCTCATCTCGAAGCAAGGAGAGCAGCCGCTCAGGGAAGTCTCGCAAAGACAGGCAGCAGCGGAGAGAAGGCAGAGGGGAGGGCAACCGCAGCACCTCCCAGAGGAGCAGACAAGACAGGAGCCACCGTAAGTCCTCCAAGAGCCACAAGTCAAGCCCTAAGGGGAAGTCTTCAAGTAGGGGTAGCCCACGCAGGAAGGGCACCAGCTCTGCTCTTTCGCCCAGTCCCAGAAGAGGGGCCGGCAGCGAGAGTCCACAGGGCAGTGGGTACGGGCAGCAAGGGGATGACAGCTACTCCAGGCGGAGGGTGGCCCAGCAGAGCCCCAGTCCCTACGGGGATGTTTCTCGCCGCAGCAGACAGAGATCAGACAGCCCCTATGGCAGCAGGCACAGGTCCTCAAGCTACGAGAGGGACAGCAGCCCGTACTCAAGGAGACGCTCTATCAGCCCCTATGGCAACCGAAGATCCTCCAGCACCAGCCCCATGTCTCGGTGAGTATGTGCTGTAGGGAGCCGTTTAAATCTTATGGGGAATATGGTAAATAGTTTACACACACACACACACACACACACACACACTCAGTTTGGAAAATCAGAGGTCATGAGGGTTGTAACAGCAGATCAATTTCCAAATCAGGTCATCTTTGGTAGTATTTTTTGCATAGTCATAATGCGCATCCTGATGTTTTTTGATTCAGGTTACTGAGCAACCTACATTGTAAGTTTAAAGTCGGGCAAACGGTCAGTTGAACTCACCGAGCCCTTCTTCCTTCAGTAAAATACTAATTGTTAAAAGGTTGGAAAAAAGCTGGCTGGGTGTAGATCTTGAAATTTCCTCAGACAAAAGCCAGAGGGTGAGAACCAAAGGATGGAGTGATGACACGGTTTACCTTCAGACATTTTGTTTTGCTTTGCACAATGTCATTAAACCATGAGCTCTGGCTACCAGAAGGTTAGAGCTGCACCGTGTGACTTCAAATGTTACTATGCAGTGGACAGATTATTATTTTGACAAACAGACTTGAAAAGTCGGGAAATGTCTTCAACGGTGCTTAAATATCAATTAAATTGTCTGGTTATTCAGAATTTTCCTTGTATTTATTTTGAGGAAGACAGTGGTGTATATCTCTGACTGGAATGGAGTCAAAGGAAATGTAAACTAGGAAAGACAGATAAGTAACCAGCTGTTATCACTTCAGAGTCGATCAGCTTTGGATCCAATCTGTCCCCCCAGTTTTGAGATCAACAGTTGTTTCAGTGTTGGCTTATTTATGTGTTAACTTCTGTTATGTTCCATATCAAAAGACCCACATTTTCTTTAGTGATGGAAGAGGTTGTGTCTGCTTACTTACCCACTCTGTTCCTTTTTAAAAACA